CGACGCGCTATGCTTTCATAGAATTTTTGAGCGACGGACTACTATAAGGATATTTTTGTCGGCGGCGGGTCACGTGTGTTTACAATTAGACAAGCCACGAACCTGGAACAATTGACGCCAATGTTTAAGCTATCATTCAATGGACAATTCACGATTATATCTCTCAGGATTGATTTATTTTTGAAGAATAGAAGGTCTTTTCGTTGTAACTTCCGGTCTGATGACGTCATCAACTTCAAACTTCACACGTGTTGTTTGCATGAAGGTCATTATATATACCAGTTTTCAGGCGATTACAAAACACTTCGCCACAGACATCTATTCAAAATGCATTTTGGACATTCTTAAACCTGCCGCTAGAGGGCGGTCGAGAATTTCATGACGTCACCGGTACAAGTTTTGAAGAATATTGTCTGGCCAGAGACTAACACCGTTGAACGCAAGTTCATATCTATTTCCACTTTTAAATAATAAGCCAATAATAAGCCACTTCCGGTTTCGACCGGAAGCAAGGGTCATGTGATTTTACGTACACGCTCAAAAATAAAGACCTTAATTTACTCTATCACTTGCCGTCAACAGCAAGACGACAGATCTCATTATTGATTTTATATAGATTTTTAAAGATAAAAAATATCAAAGTTTAATTGCTTGTCACGTGACACCTGATAACGTCATCATGCCATCATTGTTCTGGCACAATCTTAGCATTCCAAGAAGACCAAGCGTCTTGAGCACAAGACTACGCGCCACGTGTTTGGCTCCGTTCCGACAAGCATGACGATGATGAAATAATGGATCTGCACTGAATGCATGTACATGTACAATGTCCTGTACATGCAGTGTACTCACGCTCACCCAGCTCTACGCTTTCATTGAATTTTTGAGCGACGGACTACCGTTAGGGTATTTTTTTCGGCGGCGGGTCACGTGTGTGAACAATTTGACAAGCCATGCGCCTGGCACAACTGACGCCAATGTTTAATCTATCATTTAATGGACAATTTAAGATTATATCTCTCACGATTGATTTTTTAGCGATTTTTGAAGAATAAAAAGTCTTTTCGTTGTAACTTCCGGTCTGATGACGTCATCGGCTTCAAACTTCACACATGTGTTGTTTGCATGAAGGTCATTATATATACCAATTTTCAAAAGATTACAGCAAACTTCGCCACAGACATCTATTCAAAATGCATTTTGGACATTTTTCAACCTGCCGCTAGAGGGCGCTCTAATATTTCATAACGTCATTGGTTACAGTTTCGAAAAGTACTTTCTTCCCGAAGACTAACATCGTTGAAAGCACGTTCATATCTTTTACCATTTTTAAATTACAAGGCACTTCCGGGTTCGACCGGTTTCGACCGGAAGTAAGGGTCGTATGATTTGACACCCATTAGGTAAATTGAAGACCCAGTATTATTCTATTGACTGCCGCTAAAAACAAGCTCCGGTCTCTCACGGTTGATTTTATATCGATTTGTAATGATTAAAAAATAGAAACACTAAATTGCTTGTAATTTGATACCTGATGACGTCATCATGACGTCAGGACAATATGCACTACTCGGGATCAGGGTCGATATGTGTTCGAAGTTACAAGTTTATATCTTGAACGGTTTAGGAGTAAACCCGCGGAGAAGTATTGTCCGGAAAAAAAAAGAAAGAAAGAAAGAAAGAAAGACTAGAGATCTATGTCTGTTTGCAACAGAACATAGGGCTTTTCCGCATTATTTTTTTTTTATTAAATTCAGGTCATATTTTTCTGTTTTGTGCAAAACTGTGTACATTTACGTTTTGTCTAACAAACCTCATTCAAATGAAAATTTGATTTTGGCATATTGCATTTGTCATATATAAAATATATATATAATCACAAGATGACGTCATTATGACGTCAGCTCAATATTTATTTGTAACACATCCCGGCCTGCCCCCATACCAAGTTTCAACCCAATCTAAATTACTGTTGATGAGATATAGGGGCTTAAAATATACAAACGATGACGTCACATGTCTAATGATGACGTCATTGTAACAATACTCGGCAGTGCTCATTATTTTATTGCGTTTTTAGACTGTACCAAGTTTGAAAACAATCGGATTAATGAAAGTGTTAAATTTTGTAAGCAGAATAAAATTGGCAATATTAAAAAAAATCGTAAAAAAATCTACTGATGACGTCATCGTGACGTCATTTAAGATGTTGTGTACTAGTGTAATTATCTACCCACCCACCAAGTTTCATGACAATCGGACATTATCTTATATGTGTTTCAAAAAAGCGCATGTTTGATGACGTCATCATGACGTCACACATTTTTCAAAATTTTGCACATATACCTATTGCCTAACAAACCTAATACAAAAAGAATTTTAAATGTAACATATTGGGTTCGTGATATATGGCTTAAAGGTTCAAAACTTCAGAAATCTATATAAAATCACACGATGACGTCATGATGACGTCACCTCAATATTTATTTGTAACACATCCCGGCCTACCCCCATACCAAGTTTCAACCCAATCGGATGTACTGTTCATGAGATATAGGGGCTTAAAATATACAAGTTAACAATGACGTCACGTGTCTAATGATGACGTCATCGTAACAATACTTGGCAGTGCTCATTATTTTATTGTGGTTTTAGTCTGTACCAAGTTTGGAAAAAATCGGATTAATAAAAGTGTTGAATTTTGTAAGCAGAATAAAATTGGCAATATTAAAAAAATCTTTAAAAATCGACCGATGACGTCATCGTGACGTCATTCAAGATTTTGTGTACTAGTGTTATTATCTACCCACCCACCAAGTTTCAAGACGATCGGACATTCCCTTATATGTTTTTCGAAAAATCGCATTTTTGCTGACGTCATTATGACGTCACACATTTTTCCAAATTTTGTGCATTTATCTTATGCCCAGCGAACCTAATACAAAAGAATTTTGAATTTATCATATTGCGTTAGTGAGATATGGCTTAAAGGTCCAAAACTTCAAAAATCTATATAAAATCACACGATGACGTCATGATGACGTCACCTCAATTTTCGTCTATAACACATCCCGATCCACCTACATACCAAGTTTCAACTCAATCGGACTGACAGTTCTGTAGATATAGGACTTTGTAATATGCATATTAATGATGACGTCACGTGACCCATGATGACGTCATCATGACGTCGCTCGTCCGCACACATCTATGCTGTATGGACTATGTCTATGCAAACTTTGAACGATATGCAACAAAGTTTAAGGGCAAAAGTGGCGTGTAGAATAAACGTGTACAAAGTCTATGGGGTTTTGGGGAAAAAAAGAAGAAGAAGAAGAAGAAAGAAAGAAAGAAAAAAAATCAGAACAAAAAGAAAGGCTTTTCCGCATTTTTGCGGAAAAGCCAATTAATCGGAACAATTCTAGACAGTGGTCGGGTTGTGCCCGACCACTCAATGAGAACAAATCCAGACAGTGGTCTGGTTGTGCCCGACCACTCAACAATCGGCTCTCACTTTTGTTTTAACTAAAACCACTAATAATTTGATACAAGAGGATGTCATCATGACGTCTCACATGTATGTACATCTTGGGATCAAGGTTAATGTTAAAACCAAATTTGAACTTTATGCGTTGTTCCGTTTGAAAGAAAAGCTGCGAAAAATATTGTCCAGAAACATAAACACAGAAAGAAGATCCAGCACAAAACGAAAATGTGATGGAGAATCCACCCCATCAGCCAAAAAGTCGAACATTAATTTCAAAACGGTGATCGGGTTGTGCTTGATCACCCAATGCACCATGAACACAAAATATATCTTACGGAAATAAAGGGTGATCGAGATCGGCCCGATCACCCAACGAAAACAAAAATGGAAGTCTGAGGAATGAGTTGTTGAGCACATATCACAAATGGTTCCGTTCGCTGGCTCTTGCTATTGAACACAACTGCATAAACTGAAACAGACTGAAATTTTAATACATCTTTGCTGAAAATGCGTAAAAGGAATTGTCTTCCTGCTTTGTATTCTTGAATAATAATTTGCATTGATCAATTATTGGTTTCACCAGCCAGACAGTCAACCAAGTTATGAAAAGCAATGAAAAAGTGGACAGTGATCGCTGTTTACTCTTAAACTACATGAAGTGTGTTTCTGACTCGGCAGATATATAGGCCTACATAAAACACGGAAGACATGGTCTAGTTTTTGAAGCGCATGTCTGTAGCTGCACATAAAAACACATGGCAGCTCAAAAATAGAAACCGTATAGGTAGACTTCAGTATGGAGTTTGGAGTTTTATGCAACATACGCTTAACATCTAAAAATAAATTTATTTTTAATGTTTTTCTTTGTCTTTGCATGGGCTAATAAAATTCTGCTCTGAGCTAACGAAAGAATGGCACGAAAGAGTAATTGTCTGCATTTAAGGTATGAGAGGAAAACTCTGAGCATTTTCGATGCTATTGGGCTCGAAAGTGGCGCTATTTTGCCATGTTGTGGAGGGATGGTTTTACAAGATGAGATGGCTACTTTTCCTCTTTGGGGAAAAAAGGGGTCGTCTTCTTTGGGTGAGAATATCTCGAAATGTCAATGGTCAACCCACCAAAAAATGGAAAGAAAACGAAAGACGATTTTTCTGTGCAGTTTAACTACCTGTGAGAGTTCTGAGTATTTTTAAAAGTATTTTGAAGTGTGGGCATTTAGCACTAGTGTCTATGTAAATTTATTTGCAGGGTTGCATCCATCACCGAAGTGCAGCTACTAATCTTACTATATATCGCCCTCTTGTGACAATACATTGTGAGTCGCGTCCAAATCTGAAATTTTGTGACTACGGCTTAGGCTTTCCATTGGCATACGTGTAACTTACACTGTAAGCAAGTAAACGGTCGTAGCCGTAAACAACCAATTAAAAAAAATCACCTGTACGGTACCTTGGCACCAATGCGTATGTAAAGAATATATGAGTACAAGAGGAAACCTGTCTAAGTCCTCTTTGACTCCGTGGCAGAATTTGCAATGGCAGGTGGCAAGAAATTGACGAAAGAGGAGGAGCTTTTGCTCCAAGATTTCAGCCGAAATGTCACCACCAAATCCTCGGCCTTGTTCTACGGGAATGCTTTCATCGTATCAGCCCTCCCAATATGTAAGTTTCGTCGATATAATGAACATATTTTTAGTCCGTATTGTTGGCATGTTTTTTGCAGCATTTAATCAATTTCGTGATAAAATGTTTGGCAGAGGCCAAGTTCGCGCAAGGACTATAGTTGACCAATGGTTAACTAACGTTTGCCCGAACTCTGTCTAGTCGACGATGGTTGACTACGCTAGTCGACTATTTGGAACCAGCCTACTGGGGTTGGTTGCTTCACTGGTAACCAATAGCCGCGCGCATCCATCATGTCCATAATGCTAGCAGAGAGCCAGGATCCAGAAGTTTTGCGATGACATTTTGACCAGCGTTTGACTAGAGACGTTCGCACGTTGCTATCAGTGCGCAGGCGTAAGCTACGTCACAAATCAACCACTAGTCGACTAATGGTCCTTGCCCGAACTTGGCCAGTGTTGTCGGAAACGGGTCCTACTAAACTGCGCCAACAAGCGCCAACAAGCGTCAACGGTCGTCAACAAGCATCAACAAATTTTGTATATGCTTTTGAACATTAAAAGTTTTATTAAAAGTAGCTTAATTATGGTAGAAAAAGCAATAAACATGATAAAGAACATCTTCTTCTTTATTTAAAAACTTGTTTTTTGAACGCGAAATGTACGACAAATTTGTCGATTAGTGTTGGCTGCCATCTTGTTTGGATGGCACTGTAGACTTCGCGCATGCGTAGGTATGGCTCTGTACACTTCACGCATGCGTAGTACGGCTAGGGCGGCCAACACTAATCGACAAATTTGTCGTACATTCGCGTAAAAAAAACCCACGTTTTTAAATCATTTTGGGGGCTTTTTGTGTTGCCCAAATTTTCGCGATAGGAATATTTGTTTTGAGCCTCTTTTGGGTTTTTTGGGGCCTGATTTCACATCTTTTTTTTCGCCTGATTTGACACCTTTTTTTCCCTGTCTTTTGCACGACTTTCCTGTTTTTTCATACACTTCAAAATGGCAAAACACAAATTTAGAATAAGGTTAAATGGATCACAAACACCTAAAAGGTGCATATTCAAGGATAGCCTTGAAAAAAAAATACATTGTAATATAGGCCCTTTAGCATTGGGACACGGTCTGGCAATAGTACATAGCACGCGCGGACACCTTAGTTTGTACTAAGGTTTACTTAGGCCAAACAAAAAAAATTGTCATTTTACTTTATTTAATTTCAGGGGTATTTTGGCGCATCCATCAGATGGATCTCGTCCAGTCAGCTATTCTGTTTGGCGTCATGACCATTGTCAGCACTTGGCTGGTGGCCTTTGCCTACAAAAACGTCAAGTTTGTACTCAAGCACAAGTAAGTTGACAGAGAGATCTGTCGCTGGTCTAAAACCCCAAACCTTGGTTTTTGCTAGGATGAAGCCTCCAGTTGGGCTCATGGAGAAATAACATAAAGCCTCAGTCCTACAAATTCTTCCATTATTTCGTGAATATGGTCCGTGAAGGAGTGACCACTGCCTGAATCCTGCAAAATCCTGCGGCAGTGACTGTCAATATGTTGAGGCTTGGCCAGTGACATCCTGGAGCAGTACGAAGGATTTCAAGCATATAATCCAGGCCTATATTTATGCATGGCTGAGCAAAAACAACAGAAGTTCCAGCCCAAGACCCTGAAGAAGTGCATCCTATGAAATCAGTAACACACTTTTACCATGTAACCTCAATCCTTGAAATTCCTCCACTTTGGCAAAAGGGGATTTTGAAGGATTCAGGGCGGTTAATGTAAAAAAAAAGAGGGGGGGGGGGAAGGAGGCGGCCTCCAAAAAGGAAGTGGGTGGGGGGATGCTAAACATGCCTTTTTTATTTCGCCTTACTGTTAACCAATTAAGTGTCTCATGAAGAATACTCAACTAATAAGTGGATAAGTACACGCTTTCAATTACACTTAATATCCTGCTCCCCCTGAAGGATTCTTCACCATTTCTAAGAGTAAGACTCTTAAATGTGGCGCCTAAAACAACACCACATTACACAGTCACTTAAAAATACTCCTACATGTACCATTTCGCCCCTATAAGACCTCAGAAAATCAAAAGTTGTGCTCATACACGTCGTTTGTTTTTGAGTGTTTTTTGCATGAGGCTGGAACGTGGCGTTATTGTGTTTACAGGTCTAATGTGATTATTTCTTTTTGGTGTACTGACATATCGTCACCGTTTTCACGAATGTGTCGAAAATCACCATTTGTTTCGATTTCGAATTTTTTTTCTCTCACTATTTTGCTTGAAAATATTGTACTTAACCATTTTGACAGGTTTCTGTAAGGAAAGCATCATTAATTTCCAAATTACAGTAATGATGCAAGGGGCAGAAATCTTGAAAATTGCATTTTGCGTTTTTACAAAGAGCCACATACATTTTGGCCCCTTGAACGCGCACAAAACCTATTGCACGGAAATGCATAAAAGTAGGTCAACTGAGATTGTCGTTTTCACGAAGAGGCACGTATCTTTGTTACATTCTCAGCTGTGCACGCGTACACACGCGTGCCCCTTCCATATGGAAAAACACTTTGAACAGAAAGGGCAAAAATGTAGGAAATTCAAATTTTCGTTTTCACGAGAAGACACATAGGCCCTATCTTTACTAATTAATTTCACTAATTAATTAATTAATTCAGTAGTATTAATTATTTGGTTCATGTAAAAGTTCAGCTCTCATAGAATCATGTGAAGGTTTCCTTACTGCACAAAGTTGTTGCAAAGTGGTATTTTTTGCAGTTTTAAAATAAGAGAAACTTCTTTTGCGATTATCTCGAAAATGCTTTTTCTTCAAAATCCACATATGTGGCTCTCCGTAAAAATGGTGACGATATGGCGGGATATTGTTTAGCCTTGGCAGAGGTTTGCTCTCTCTCGGTGCTTGCTAGTTTTGTCCGGAACAGTCAGAGGAAAGTCATGTGTTTTAGTTGCAAGTTCTGTGCCGGAACACTGTGATGGTGAGTAAATGAATGAACAGAAATGGCCCCTTTTTTGTACTTGAAGGGTTGCCCAAAAACGGGAGGACGCGGTGTCCAAGGAAGTCATGAGACAGCTGACTGATGCCGACAACAAGAAGATCTCTCGCAAGGAGAAAGATGAGAGGCAAGTAAAAAAGGGGAACAGCAGATGCAGGGAAAGACAGAATTTTTTCTAAAACAAACTTCGTAAAACTTTAAAAAGTGGTTCAAAAAGGTTACCAATTACCAGCCATTACAGTTTTGCTTTGTGAGTTGAGTTTGTGACTCTTGATCAGAGGGTCAGGGGTTCAAATCCTGCTGCTGGTCATATGTTGTGTCCTTGGGCAAGCCATGTCACCCCAACTTGCCTCTCTCCACCCAGGAGTATAAATGGGTACCGACATTAGCTGGGCAGTAACCTGCGACAGACTAGCATTTTATCCAGTAGAAATATTCTCAGTCATTTCATGCTACTGAAACCGGAGATAAACGCCGGCCTGATGGGCCACATTGGCTCGTGACAGCCTTTACTTCTTTTTTTTTAAAGTGTGCTTTAGCCCTTACATTTTCCTGAAAACCTCAGGTTTTCAGGAAAATAAGGTTTTGGTTTTTGGCACTAACAGATACGCTTTGTGAGCAGACTGGCGCCGGTCGGTACAATATCGATACTGATTATGGGGCGGGAACCAGCCTACACTGCAAGAATGGGAATCATTGTCTGGCAGCCAATAATTTGAAATTGTAAAGTAATAATTAAACATGGGCTGAATTTTTTTTTCATTCAGTCAGTGTCTCATTCAAAAGTGTATAACGTTTGTACTGCTAGAAAAATATTATTTATAAAAGGAATCAGTTTTTGAAGATGAAACTTGAAAATAGCATGAAGGGTGAAATTAAAAAAAAACCACCATTTTGTGATGTGAAATCATCTCACCATTGCGAAACACTTTCATGTGGAATAACCCCATATCTGTTTCTCCCCTCCCCCTTTTTTTTGTAATTTGCATACAATTTGCATACTTTGCATATTCAGGATCTTGTGGAAGAAGAACGAGGTCGCCGACTACGAGGCCACGACCTTTGCCATCTTCTACAACAACGCCCTCTATCTGCTGCTGGTCCTATTCTTGTCGTTCTTCATTCTCAGGTCGTTCGACCCATCTGTGTATCCTTTGAAGCAAAGACATCAAACTAAATTGTGGCTTTTGCAATTTTACGTGCTAAGCACAATTCAGCGGAGTACCGGTCACAAGTCATGTGCATCATATGCCATGTCGGCTGGTGGCCTGTGATACGCCAAAGCAAATACAGTAAACTCCGGCTAAGTCGGCACTCTCGGGACCTGAGAATTTGTGACGACTTATGCGAATGCCGACATCTGCTGTAAGTCGTCATTTTCCCGACTTCCATGAATGGCATTTTTGCACACTTGATTTATTGCAGTAATTGGAAGGGGGACCAAGAGTAACACGACGACTTGAGCGAAATGGCCACTTATAAAAGCCGACTTAGAAATTAAAAATTCAATGGAAATGCATTAAAGACAATCAGGACTTAAGTCAGACGGCCGACTTGAGCGATTTGACGAGTTGTACGATGTGGACTTGGCCGGAGTTTACTGTATTATCTGCGTTTAAAGGTGGCGTACATGTAGATCATTTGTGCGTTTCTTTCGTTTGAAAGAACCAAAGTGCTTAAAATATAAAGATAGTGCTTAACAAACCTGACATAAATTAATTAATGCATTGGTTAGACCTGCATGTTTCCCCCCCCCCCCCCCCCCACCTGTTGTGCATTTCCCTTAACTGTTCCCTGACAGCAACTACATTGTGTCCATTGGCATCGCTGGGGGTCTGCTAGCTCTCGTCTCAACAGGAACTCAGTGACCTTTGACCTTAAGCGCAGTGACCCTTGAACCCCATCATGACCTTCAAGTAGTAGTAGAGAATAGTTGTACAAAACTAATTATAATCAACTTAAGATTTGGACATTGTTTGGATTTTGGAATCATCTCAAATGTAATTTTGTGATTTCTGCACTTTATTACAATAAATTATGACAACAGTGTTGGGTAAGTTTTGTGCCCATATTTCTCTACATTGTTTATTTGCATCCGCAGTTCGAAAGAATAGCATTCTATGTGCACATAAATGAAGAGACATTTTAAACACATTCCACGCATTGTATATTGAAAAGGGCATGCTTTAAGACATGTTCTTATTGGTAAAAGAGACTCGTCATTGTAAAACACCTTGCTCAAGAACACAAGCAGGCTAAAATGCTTTGGCAAGATCCACAGAATAACCACCACATTTTAAGGGCCGGTGATTTTGACCACGGAGTAACTTTCTGGGAGGACGGTTTTGTCGTAATGTTTTAACAGATTTCAGACTTACAGGTTATTTCAGTTAATTATGTTCTCCTCAAGATGAGAGGGGCATCTGTTTTTTTTAAAAGGGAACATTGCTCATTAACTTTCGAATAAAACAAGAGACAGGCTCTGGAAAACATTGATGTCTATATTTAGTTGGTGACTTAATTTGTTTGTGTATTAAGATTAATCTATACCAATATTTTTCTTCAACTCTGGTGCCAACTGTTCCCCTTTTTCCAAAAAATGTGAAAAATATGGAAGCAGACGGTGAACTTTAAAAAGCTTTTGGGGTTTTGAGGGGTTCTGTGTCGAAAATTGGACCTTAATGGCATATATGATCAGTTGCTTTTCATGCATTTTGTTCATTTCCAATAATTACACAACACAAAATCCAAAGACGAAGGTTCACAACCTAACTTGTTGAAGTTACAGCGCCGTGGGTATTGAACTTTTCGAGAAAAACAGTGAAAAAGCTTGCACAACATTTTGATCATGGAACACGATTTCGTCTGAACTCAAATATTTCAAAAAATATTGACTGATAGTTGGAAATCACCCTATACGCTTCCTAACGATTTCTGCTAAATGATACCAAGCCAGACGGAAACATTTCACGGGTTGATTAGTACTACTACTAGCACAATTCAAGTAAGCGTTTTGATAATTCGCTTTGAATAGAAAATTTTTGAGAAAGAAAACTTCATGCATTTGAAGGAATGCATTATTTAAAAACAAAAATCAATGGACGCGTAACTTGCCACTTAAACAGAAACCGTTGGAATGACTTTTGACCAAAAAAAGGGGGAACAGACGCCTGATTCGTGTGACATCAACCCCCAACACTCCTATGGAAATTAATTCCCGTTGAGTCCAAAAGAAAAAAAATGTGCCATTTTGTGTTTCTGCAAAGTTGTAGAACATTGATGATTCAGAATGTCTTTCTAGGCAAAATGTCCAAGGAGTTACGGTTAACGTTCTTGGACTGGTTTAATATCACTTCGCGCCGGGATTATTATGGTGTTTTTTTTTACACTGACCGGACCCAGGCGCGGGAATGCTTTTACACGAACCTCGATGCCAGACGTAGACGGGTTCAGGTCGTCATCTGCGGGTAGCACAACCTGATATTTCCGGCCTCGCTCCATGCTTTTCCGGACAACTGCACGAGGGCGGTATTGCTGTGATGTCATTTCAGAAAGACACTGTTCTAGTTCAGGGGTTTTCTGTTCAAATTGTGAGCCCAAAATGTGCTCATTGAAAACATTTGTTAGAAAGGGTTGCTCGTTGGCTTACTGCTATGTACATTGACACATCAATGAATCACCTGCCACCAAAGAAAAGGAAATTATGACAGCAAAATATCCAAAAGTCTAGCGACGTTTTGGGCTGAAATAATAACATTGAGGTTTCTGCCCGAAATGACATCACAGTACAGGTTTGCTCATGAATATCGAAATTCGCATCAGCACAACAAAAGGTACCCAAAAAAAACCTTCAAAAATGGCAAAACAAAACTTGAAAATGATGTTAAATGGAACACAAACGTGCAGTTTTCAAGGATTTCATTAAAACAATTTAAATTGCATGGGTCTCTTAATGCAGCCGGATCCTGATACATGTACATGACGGTACAGGGTGAATAAAAAAAACAAACCCAAATGGCAGGACCAATTTTTGAATGAGGTTTTGCCTGTAGCATAGGGATGCGTGTGAATTTTTTACCTTTTTCTGGAAGAACACTTACCTTTTTTTATGATGCGTGGACAGAACTTTAAAACGGGCTTTGTGTTCAATTCCGTTACTTGAAAAGTACATGAGTGATTTGAATGATTCTTGTACTAATTAAGAAAGCCCCCCGATTGGGACTTATAGATTTTCAAAGTGCTACAGGCAAAATTTCTTTCAAATGTTGGTCCTGCCATGTGGGTTTCAGGTTTTTTTTACTCGCCCTGTATAGCTGCCGCTTTGGTGGAGGTCGTTATCGCAAAGATGATTCAAATCCACCACTGGAAACTTCGGCAGCGCTACCCAGGACATTTCTTCGAGCGTAGCATTCTGCGCGCTGTATTAGTTAATGCACGCGCGTGTGGTATGCTGGTAAGTTGCTGGGTAGCATTGCCGAAGTTCCTAATAAGATGGGACTGGGTTCGTCATTGTTGATAGCGTATTACCGCAGAGTTGGCGTTAGTGGCGGCGCTACGGGAGGGGTTTCCCCCACGTTTTTCCCCACCCCCAGTTTGCCCCACCCCCCAGTTTTCTCCCAACACTTTATCAACACATTAATAAATTATGTTTATTTTCTTCGCTGATAAGATTCATAAAATGTGGACACAAGGGCCAATGAAAGCATTATATAAACATCGATACTTTAGAAACAAAAACACTCCACATTGTGCGTGTACGCCTTTGTACATTTATTGTGTCGTACATTTTGTTATACACCATTCTGCGGTTTGATACATTTCTCATTCATAAAAATGATTGTAAGTACCTCAAGTTGCTCTATAGTGGCTTATTTCCGGGCCATTGACAATGGGCACACGTACACGCACGCATTCACAGGCTAAGATTTTTGTGACTTCCCCAAAAAATATTTCCTTGCCCCCCTTCGCCTCGTGGAATGGAACAGTTCATTAGTCACCGAATGAAATTATTCTTACCACTGAACTCACAAACATTCATTGTTTGTATACTGACGCGCAAAGGAGGGGGCATGTGCCTTTTCCGCTATAATTCGTGGATGCAAAAATTAATCTGCTATATAAAAAAAAATTGAATGCCCCCTCCCGGAAAACGAGGCCCCTCCCCCCCCCCTTCGAACTGAACCCTAGTTACGCAACTGGTGGATATAGCTTAGCGCAGCTTTTCAGTCTAACAAATTGTGAGCAAAGTCACTAAGTTGACCCATGGAGGAAGGAATAGACCTTCCATGGTTGGCCATTTTTTTTGTGGGGGCACGGAACGGGGACCGTTGGGTTGAGGGGTGTGGACTGTGGAGGGAGTTTAAGGGGCCTGGGTAGGGAACCTGGCATGCGGAGTACACACCGACCGAGTCGGCTCTGTGCGCAGCAATAATAATTAGGTTTCATGTGGCACATTACGTTTTTTAAATTGATTTTTTTTTTTTTAATTATTGATCAGTTCCGTGTTATTTGTACATACAGGGTGAATAAAAAAAAGAGTGGAACCCAAACCCCCAAACATATATTTCATATATAAAAAATGTAGCCCCAAACATGATAATGACCGAAAAGCCAATTTCATAAGCTACTTTTAGATGGGAAAAAATACTGAAACTGCTCAATCCGTTCAAAGAATATCACCATTTGAACGCAGTGACCCTAAAAACCTGTTTTGTCCAAAAAAGCAGTTTAGTGTGTATTATGACTGTTTGGAACAACAAAGAAAATGACACAGACTACTTCAACAACACAATATCTTTATTGACAACCCTGGTTAGGCTTAATCCACTATTTTTTTAAAGACGGGCCTTCAAAAGGACTTTGTTGAGTATTTTCAACTTTTAAACCGAGGTTTGGTCGCTGGTGATGTTTGAAGACATTGTGACGACGATTCTTAAAATCGGATTTTTGGACGAAAGAGGTTTTAGGGTCATTGTGTTTAAATGGTGATATTCTTTGAACGGATTGAGCAATTTCCGTATTTTTGTTCATCTAAAGTAGCTTATGAAATTTGCTTTCCAGTCATTATTATGTTTGGTGCTACTTTTTTTTTTTTAATATAAAATATAAATTTTGGGGTTTGGGTTCCGCTTTTTTTTTACTCACCCTGTACGTGTTAACGTGTTGTCGTTTTCCCCAGCCAACCTAGCATGCATGACAGCATTCGGTTTGTTTACTTGTTTTTGTTTGTTTCTTGATTTTTTTGTTTATTTGATGAAAGAATTTTTTTTTCTTGGAGGAAACACGACTTAAGGGCTTACGGTTTCAAACTCGCCGTTTAAACGCGATCGCAATGTTCATCAAAGCCTACAACTATGATTTTAAAACCTATAATTGGCAAACTATTTTCCAAATGAACTGGCTTGATTATTTTCTTTCTGGGGGTGGGAAGGGAGGGGGTTGCTTTCTGCAGCATATTCGATTTTTTTCCCTAACGAATTTTCCATTTTGTATATTTAATTTAAACGAAAAAGTACTTTTTCTATATTTGGCGCTCCCACCCCCATGCAATACGTTTTTGGGGGGTGCCTTTGCGCCCATAACGCACAGAAGATACGCGTGAATTATATTGTCGGGCTGCAAATAATTCCAAATGTGTAAAGTCATTATTCTATAACTAAACATGCCTGGCTGGGTTTTGTTTACCCGATGTCTTATTTTCAAGTGAATAACGTTTGCATTGATTAAAATAGCAATTAAATAAAAACCCAAAAGAAATTTGAGGTGAAAGTGCGAAATAGCACGTCGGGAGAGAACTTGTGTTGCCTGAAAAGTTACGGATAACAAGGTGCATGTAGTAATTCAGTCATAAATTATAACTTTAACCAAAACAGAAAAGCTACAATAAAAGGAAAAAATCGATAACATGTCGTCCCTATATATGACACATTATTCATTAGCCAACAGCGAGTCTAGTTTCAAAAAGTTATTATTTTCTTTTCCTTTGGCCTTCACTATATACCCCTAACATCATAGGCCGATACACACTATCGAATGCTCATTTATTATGCATAAAAATTAAGGCGCGACAGACGTAGCTGAGCCAAGCTCTGGGGCTAAGTAAAAACTATTATGGGATACGGACTGATGCTTTGTTGGTGATTATTATGGGATGGCCCATCAGTGTGCGCATGCTCTGTTTGCGCATTGTGCAACTTCATTGCCACTCAATGTACTATTTGCCTATATACAACACCTATGATGCTTAGGGGGTATTGAATTAACATTTTCCGTTCATACGAAGGCGATGAAGAAAACTGAACAGAATGAATCCTGTTCCCTTTTCCATTACATTCCTGTTTGCCCCATTAAGTATTTCTTCCTTTTTGTTCGAGAGAGGGTTTGAAAAGCTCCGAATAAAAATAATTCTCTCTTGTCCTATAGCCTAATTTGCCTTGATTTTTATTGGCGCGTTATAAGATGGGATTTTCGGGCTGTGTTATTTTAACAAAATCTGAAAGGCATCGGGAACAAAAGTGGCCATCACTGGTCGAAATTTCTACGGGCAAACCCAAACTCATGATTCTTTCGCACTGTATCCTGCTTTGATTTAGTTCGAAATAACTTTTTTGTGCGGCTGCAGAAAGCTGCTATGTGTGCAAACCAGAGCTTTGGGTCTTTGCCGATCCTGGGACAACGTTTTATAACTCAGAACATTATTGAAATGAATCAAATGTTTCCCCTGTCCGGTGACCTAGCCCCATTCAGGCCGTTGTGGTGCAATGGAGTCTTTTTAACCTAAGAAATGGAACTTTAATTGTTGGCGCTGGACTTTTCGCATCCGGAAATCAAAAAGTCTGGAAAATTAAAAAAAAAAAATGACACATCCAAACATTACCTTTTGCCAACGGCTATTCGACCGATATAGAAATATGTCTTAGTGTGTTGTGATAGTTACTGAGATTTACTTAAGAACGTAACGGGACGATTCGGGAAGAATCGTTCTATCCCCAAAAAGGGGGATAGGCCTACATTGTACATCACCGTACTTTCGGCCATCGAATGTTGTATTTTGACCTCATCCGTTTAGTATTTCTTTCTTTTTCGAACTTTAATTGATTAACTGACTGAAGTAAACTCATATTTTGGGCTGGGCGTTCGTGGCCAACTTGTTTTTTTCCCCAGCTATTATAGTTAGCTTAGTTTAAAACTTAATTAAAAAATCACTTAAAAATAAAGGAGAATCATTAACTCGTAAACTTTCTGAAATCATTTTTTTTTTAAACGAAGAGAGGAAGAAGCTTAGGGCTTATTGGCCTATACTTTTTTGTGATCCGGGGACAGAACTTTAAAACGGTGTTTGCGTTCAAAATTCCGTAACTTGAGAAGTACGTGAGTGATCTGAATGATTCTTGTACTAAAAGAAACTCATGGATTGGGATATCATATCATAGACTTTGAAAGTGCTACAGACAAAAACTTCATTCAAAAATTGGTCCTTCCATTTTGGTTTCGTGTTTTGTTTTGTTTTACTCCCCCTGTATGCAATCGAAATCAGCATGGACATCAAATGATCTTTGGTTAATTATCTGAGATATTTCACCAAATAGTTATGAAATGATTGACTATATTACGTTTTCGGACTTTAGAGAAATCGTGCTCAGTATGCAACTATAGGCCTACGATGGCCGCCTTGACCGCAGTGCATTTTTGCTCCATGTCTCCGCGGACGGGATGGCAGGCCGAACAAAAAAGTGCAACTACAAAATTGTCCGATGATGAACCCACATTTTTTTTTAATTTGACAAGGCAAAAATGATGATCTTAGAAGACCACCGAACATGAGTGTGGAGCTAAAGGCCTACAGAGTCCACGCGCGTTTTGGACGACCAAAAAAAAAAAAAAAAAAAAACCGGTCCAACTTTTTGTAACAGAGAGATTTTTTTCTTTTGCGAACTAAAAATCATAGCAAGAAACAATCAAGGCTCTTGTTAAAATTTGGGGGTGTATCGTTTTTATAGTAAGGTCAATGTAAACATAGGCCTTTACCGGTTAAAAAAGGTTGATTTTATATTCTTCTTATTGAGACTCGGCAAATCTCAGAAACCGTTTCCAAACGGATGCAATTTCCCGACAAAATTAGTGGAGCATCACAAAATTTTGTCTGCGAGACGCGAGGGAAAAAAGTAATAAATCGTCACCATAACAACCACACGTCACTATGTTTTTTTTTCTCCAATTTCGTTCCATTTTCCCAAGAAATAAAACTAGCCTAAATATATAACGTCATGTAATTTAGCTCAGTTTTGACTGCACTTATAAGAAAATGAGTGAAGTTGCATCATCTGTTTGGTCATTAGTCTGTCCTTGCAAAACAAATATAACTACATGTTGCAAATCAGCTCGATCGCCCCAAGTTTCATTTGTTAGCTCAATCATATCGGATGGTGATTTATTATGCATAAAATCAAGGCAACTGAGAGCCACGCAGGGGCCTAAGCAGAAACTATTATGGGATGCCGGCACCCGGTGATGACTATTATGGGATGTCGGAATGCTACATTAATGCGCGCATGCTCACTTCGCTGTGATGACGTAGGCCCAATTAGTGGCGACACAATGGCAGCGCTCTTACAACACAACCATGGCTGCTGAGTGAGTTTCTGGATCAAGTTTTAATAAGAAAACAAAATCAAATTGGGGTTAAAAAGCCTGCGCTTTTTCACAAGTTTGGGGAAATTAAACATTACTTGTAAGAATGAAAAAAAGGTCTGTTTGTACAAACTCAAGTTGTGAATTTGTTTTTTTAATTCGATGTCTAATTTCAAAACTGAAGTTTCAAACTAACTTCAGACCCCATTTTGATCAGGTATAGTGTAGGCCTATTTCCAAGATTAACTTGTATAATTTGCAAATTCTTGAAAAACTTATTCTTCATATTGCACAAATAAATTTTGAGAAAAAGTAATCAATATAGCGGATAGATTTTGCCCAAATCGGTATTTCCGCGTTTGAGTTTCCAAAATGTTTGGAATTCCCCCCGGTCGCCCCCTCCCAAACTAATGAAAAGATAATTTTTTTCCTTTTAATAAATTTTCTTGCCAGCTTTTGTTATTTGTCTTTTGAATACAAATCTGTATAATTGATTGTTTGATAAATATGACACTTTTTTGCTGGCCCAAACGGGTAGCATATGGTTCCACCGTTAAAACCCTGCGCCGGTCGAAAGCAACTTCGCACGGTATGGGTCCGCGAGCGCATCACGCTGGTCATGTTGGGCCCGTAGTTTTATCAACGGGCGATTTTATTAGGATTCCTACCAGATTTTCTTTTTTTTTTTACTGTGCTTTTTACATTAAAAAACTGGCCGCAAATTTTATTTTCACGTCGGGAGTTCGAAGAGTTGATAGGCCCTAGTTAAAAAAAAAGTTTAAATACTTTCAGCCTAGGTCTTGCAGCAGTTTACGGTTGTCTTCCAAGATATTTGTAGGAAAAAAAAAATCGTTTTTACATCGATATGACAATTTTAAAATTTGTTTCAAGTAAATAATGATGAAGATTCTGGGGTGAAAAAAAGGAGATTGATATATTTCCAGCTTGTAGTAGGCTTTTCCTTTGCTAATGTAGCGCTTTCTTTTAACTGTTCTGTTGCCTATAATGTTATCTCCGCGTTAATTATACAAGAACTTCTGGTATTTGCATGCAAGACCTATTCCTACAAGTATTGCCCCCAAACCAAAAGTATTTTGTATCGTAAAAGTGCTAGAAAGTCTTCAAAAAAGAAATTTATAACACCTGTTAATTCAAATGTCTTCGGTGTCGTGCCATAATATTAGTCAATTTGCATTAATGTATAGTTACTTATAATGTAAAATGTTATTTTTGGGCACTTTTCAGCCCAAATTTCAAATCATTTTTTAGTTCATGGGAGCCTCCAGGTTAAAATCATGTCTGGCCCGCGAGTCAAAAAGTGGCTCACATTATTAATTTTTGTGCAGTTTCCGCTTGGCAAGTTATGCAAATTTTTCCCTGCGGGTCCCTTTTCAAGAACAAGACCCTAATTGATATGCAAAATTTATTGACTGTACACAAAAAGTGTTCTTATACAATGTTGGTCTGCCACAAAGCTGTGTCTCTACATGTGTCCCTTTCCCCCCACCCCAGGTAGTTTTTGTTTCCTCACTTGTGTCACCCTGATTAACTAAGTTGTGATTATTATGGGATGTTTTGGGTGATTAATATGGGATGTATCTTTATCTGTGACGTCAAACTGCGCATGCACAGTGGCCGTTTTGCCACCCTTTTGTCGTGGGGGTGAGTCCCTTTTTTTGTCCGTTCTGCGCCATCTTCGCACCTACCTTCCCCCGGTCCAAAAGGGACTACTCCAGGCACGATTTATGTTTTCATTTCGTCTGGATTTTTTAACGCTCGGGGTCTGCAGCCACCACGGAGGCATCCAACGGTCAGGCAAGGATGCCAGGAGTTGGCAGAAACGAGGAGGACGGCGAGGAAAACTCATTTGAAATGGACGATTCTGTTGATTATGGACCGAGTGCACCTACCGAAGGCGGACATGTCAATCCTGGTAAAGTGAACGCTCCTATTTTGAATATCGACAACAATTTGCCGTTCGGCGCGATATCGCATCGGGCCAAAACTATCAGAAATTTGGCAGAATCCCCACGTGGAAATACAGTAATAGAATCATGATATTCCAGAGTCCACGCAACTGTGTTAGTGAAAGAATTCTTGTCGACAGCAGTAAATTTTGCGCAAATTCCCCGATGCCATGTGGCGGTGCTCGGCATGTGAATTTTTTTTTTTTGGTCAAGGTCTATCGGTCATCGCGAACGTAATCGATGCATGTTGTTCGTCGCCAAACAACGTGAACTCCAGGAGATTAAACTCGCTCTAAAAAGGTGCAATCCCGGCGCAATCCCCCTCGTATTTTACCCTCTGGTGTGCACCCTTCGTGTCGGTGTGTGAATATGGGAATTTGGGGGGATATTTCCTCGCTAAAAATGTCGAAGATGTTTGCTGATCTTTCTTGAGATAATTATCCCGGGCAGTAATTATTCAGTTGCCACGCACAGTGTACGTGTACACGTAACGTGAATGAATGAGTGGCGCTCACTGATTGTGTGTTTTTGACGAAACTACCGGGGATTAGAAAAAAAAAATCAAAAAAAAAAAAATTGTCGCGAATTGTGTCCCGTTTCTTTTTTCATGTTTGCTCTTTTAATACGCTTTCAGCGGAAGAGTCACCCCCTTCAAAGAAGAAAAAGAGCAAGAAAACGAAAAAGGAGAAGCGAAAAGAGGGAAAATCCAAGAAACGCAAGCGCTCTGTGGACCGGGAAAGTGGAGGGGTGAGTTTTGTACGCAGTTCTTCATGTTCTTTGTGCACAACTGGTTGGCAGTGCTGCATGTGTTTTTACACACTGTTGGCTTCAAGTAGAATGGTTTTTCTCTACATAAGAATTTGAAAAAAAGTTGTTTTGTTGTCACAATGTCAGAAAGGAAAATCTTGTTTGGTTTTTTTCAATTTTTTTTGGGTGTAGGCATACTCGATTATTTTTTTTTACTTGTGGGATAAATATATATTCATATGACGTTATAAATTTGACTTCCTTCTCAAATCGTTTCCTGGTATTTTTGGTCAACTTTGCCATCACACATTTTTTTCTTCGAAAGATGTATTTAAAAAAAAATTGGATTACGATAATTGTTAAATGTTCAAATCATCAGAAAAATTATCGAACTTTTGACTTACATCCTTGCAAATTGGAAACAAGTGTGTGGCTTTTTTTATTTAATTATATTCTTGTTTGTATTTAAATTTATTTTTATTCGTTTTGTCCATATCAGTTTTTGTTCCATGGATTGTTCATATTTTTGGTGTACATCATTTATTAATTAAGTTTTTGTTAATGACGTTCAATTTTTCGGTCAGTATGATGATTGAGGAATTATAAAAAATTAATAAATAAAAATTAACAATGTCTTAGTTTTTTTTTTCCATTTTCAAAATATAGAAAAAATGTAAAATCTAATTATTCATAAATTATGATAATTACTGTTGTACTAACCAAGTTTATAAAACACAATTTTTCGCTTTCAATTTTTTGCCTGTAAAAAAAGAAGATGATGTATCTAACCTCCAAAGAACTGGTTGTTTTTTACTTTTATGAAATTGCGCAGAGCAATTTTGGTATAGACCCTATTAATTATTAGTCCGAGTATCACCCGTTATCCGCGGAGATAATGTCTGATATGTCTAGACATGCAGATATATGCAAGCCGCACACCAGCCATTCGAAGTCGACTTTACTAAATCTTGACGTCATTTCTTCCAGATCGGGACTAAATGGTTTGATTGGTCAATTCGAAAGCAGTGTTTTGTAATACAACAACAGCCGGGTGCATATTGCGTAACATGATACAGAGCGCGTGACACAGGTTTTTAAAAAAATCTATTGTCTATGACGCGCAACGGGTGAAAGACCGAAGACCCGATATAGAAAACGCCCACTGATTGGTCAAAATCTAGAGGTCAAGAGGTGGTTATCTTGCCTAATTAATCAGCGAATCTGCTCACATAGACCATGGCATTCGCCATGTTAATGGCTAATTGATTATTGCATGAGCATGAAACTGGTAGATCGAGTTTTCAATAAAAATGGTCAAGTCCCAACTACATGTACATGTACACCGTAACAACTGAAGTGTTGCAGTTCGGCTGGTCCAACTACAGCAGGGGTGTGCAATTCACGGTTAGAACTTGAACCGGGATGCCAATTAAAAGAAGTGACGGGTACCCGTTAAAGAAAGCCAACCCAAAGAAATTCCGAATCTCGGAAGTTGCTGTTCAGATTGTGTGCAAAGGTTCGGACGATAATACTACCACATTGGTGCATCAATTTAGCAAGATACAAGTGTGTATACTATAGGGGAGCTTTATAACTTTATGGTGAAAACTGCAACTTTTCGCGGGTGTCATCAATGTGAAATCCGTTTTGTTTTTCCAGTGGCCTGGTTTTCATTTTGAAATTTCCCCACTTATGACATTCAAAATCTTTCCTTTTCATTGTCTGAGAAGTGTTACTAAATAATTTGTAAAGTTGGTTACCGGTACCCAATCCCATAATCTGGAACCTGGTTCCTGACATCACAGTCGGGTACTTGGCACCCGTTTTTCCGATGCAAAGCCCTAAACTACAGTTGTTCTTGAATCAACACAGTTTTCACGGCAGAATGCCCACACAAAATGTGTCCAGTTGCTGTTTCATTCATGTTCCGAAATACAAAATGAGAAACTCATTTTAAAGGGAATGTACAACATCTGCTTTTGCTTCAATTTTCAGAAATAAATGGATTTGGAGGATTAGTATGTTATAGGAAATATTGTTGAACTGACATGTTTCACGTTTTGGGCTTGTAGATGCTGGAAAAACCAAGAAAACCTATCATGTTCTTGTAGTCTGGTTCCCTGACCCCAATAAGATGAAACGGAGCACTTAATACACTTTAGGGAATTGTAAGGTCAGAGAATCAGTCTAGCAGGCTTGTACCCCTGCAGAGGTGTGTAATCAATTGCAAAGAAAATTCAGAAAACTAAATATGAAAAATTAAGAACAGTTTTTGAAAAAAAAGCCAGTTTTTTTCCAACGCTGGTCGGCCGACCAGCGTTGGAAAAATGCAGTTTTTCTTGAAAATGTCAGCACACCAGGAGCCACGATTTTAAAGGATGCTTTAGACTGTCATTCCTCATAATCCAGTAAGGTATTTTGTGATAATTTGTTCATTTCGTTTTTTGATGTTTGCAAATGTTGTATTTCCCCTTTAAGTCGGTTTCTCTGGCACTTATTTGCACATGTTTTATGCGTAATCTCTGACGTGCCACCTCGCTATGTGTGCAACAATGTCTTAGTTGGGCCGGCCCATCTTGAACATATCGGTTGGGATGATCTCAACTATACATGAAGTTGGGTCATAACTAAATCAACTAACTTATATCAAGAAATCATGTGCACTTCAAAGAATATGTTTGTATTATAGTGTTATTTAGGGATCAGTGTGTTAAAGGGAAAATACAACATTTGCAAACATCAAAAAATAAAACTACCAAATCATTTTGAAATACCTTGCTGGACTGTTAGTGAATAACAGTGTAAAGCATCCTGTAAAATCATGGCACCTGGTATACTGTCATTTTCAAGAAAAGTGGTATTTTTGTATCAATTTCCAACGCTGGTCGGCCGACCAGCATTGGAAAAAACTGGCTTTTTTTCAAATACTGGCCCCAATTGACCATCGCACTTGTTTGCAATCGATTACACACCTATGAACGGGTACAAGCCAGCTAGACTGGTTCCCTGACCTTACAATTCCCCAATGTATGTAAACTGCTCCGTTTCTTCTTATATGGAGTCAGGGAACCAGACTCCAGGAAAATGATTGTTTTTCTTGGTTTTTATAGCATTTTCGAACCAAAAACCTCAAAAAAGTCAGTGTAATTATATTTGCTATATATTTCCAACCCCCCAATTCCATCCATTTCTGAAAATTACAGCAAAAGCAAATGATGTATATTCCCTTTAAACCATCTTTATCACTGAAAATGTGAGTCTTTCAAAAGTCTTGCAGCAAGTATATTTTGGCTTGGGAAGAAAGTAATAGTGGAACCCTAAGGCCAAATAAAAAAAATAAATATGTTTGGCGTCCTGCCTTTTTGAAAAAAAGAGGAGGCCCTTTTTTTTCCCATACAAAATGGCCGCCTGACCAGGCTATTTTTCAAGGTGGCCGCCAGTTTGTTTTTTAAATGGCCGTCACTCTGACTCGGGAAATGACATACCAGCTTTATATGGGCTAGATGCAACAGACAAATAGGCCAAAATGCTGTCAATGTTTAAAATTAATCATTTTTTTTTTCGGTTTAAAAAAGAGAAAAAACAAGTAGGCAGCCTCCAAAAAGGAACTGGGTGGGGACGCTAAACATGTTTTTTTTTATTTGGCCTAACAGAACTCAACCCATCAAAACCCAACGGCATGTTTTGTTGGAATCTGTCAGGATGAGTACAGTTCCCCTGAAATGACAGTCTTTTACATTGGGTTGGCACACCTTGTACACAATGTATGTGTGTGCAGTTTCCAATATGGTGTTGGAATTTGCCAGGATGGGTATGGTTCCTAGTGAATCATGCAAGGGAGTTAGGGTTCATTAACCCTAACCCACCTCACTCCTCCAAAATCCTCCTGGCGGTTTTGGAGGATTCTAGAGGATTGAGGATGAATGGTGATTGAATCAAATGAGGATTCTGGAGGATTGAGGATGAATGGTGATTGAAGCACATGAGGATTTTGGAGGATTGAGGATGAATGGTGAATGAAGCACAAGAGGATTTTGGAGGATTGAGGATGAATGCATTTTGAGGCAGGACTGTCTGATGATTTTGAAGGATTTGGCGTTGGTTATCCTTCATTTAAACACGAGTGCAACGTTTTGGGATGAGGAGGATTTTGGAGGATTGAGGATGAATGCATTTTGAGGCAGGACTGTCTGACAATTTTGAAAAATTTAGGCGGAGTTGAAAATTTTTGGAGGATTTTGGAGGATTGAGGATGGTTGTAAGCAACAAGGGCCTAGGGGGTTAGGGTTAAGTTTATTCAGTCTATGGGTGTTAATTCAAAATTAGGTGATTTTTGTTTTTGTTAAATAGAATTTTAGAAATCGGTCATGGGGTCTTAAAATTTGTCCGAAACTTTTTACAATTTACTGTATGTGTCTTACATACATACTTTATGTACGTAGCTTCCTACACAATTTTGTAGCCCTCGTTCTGAACTGTGATTGACAAAGATCATGTACACCTTGAAAAAACCATATAGGCCATCAGTACATGTGTGGATATTGACCTCTTGGGATTGATCTTAATTCATCAGGAAAGTGATTCCCCACTAAGCGACGATGGCGAGATCATCTTCAAACACAAGAGCAAGAAGAAGAAAGACACTCCAAAGGCAAGTACACACATGCACAAACTCTTCTAACTTCTGGGGATCTGATTCATATTGTATATACTCTATGTACCTGCAACCGTACATTCACGCAGGTACGTTGTACATTAGGGGTGTGCATTTACAAGTATAACGGGAACCGGGTGCCTGGGAACCGAGTGCCTGATTGAAAAACACACGGATACCGGTTAAAGAAACCCAACCCCAAAATTCAAATCTCGGAAGTTGCTGCTCAGATTCGCTCGTACCCCCCGCCCTGCAAACAGGACGCTGGGATACTGTGATGAATTCGCGCTCTGATTGGTTGGATTTTGCAAGGTTTGAAACGGCCGTTAAGACTGATTCATTACTCTTTTATTCCAGTTTAGAGATGTTTTTTTCTCGTTGAAAAGCGTAATAATGTTGGAAATTCTGTAAAATTTATCTGTGATGTTAATTTACAATTCCTGTCACTCGCTCAGGCTCCGTTTCGAATCACGAACGGTCGGATTGCATTATGCGACGCTCAAAATTTTGTCCACATGGTCCGCAATGACACAGAAATCACATCCAGTATGGAATGTGCGCAATTCCATAGGAAGTTTTCGGATAGCATTTGCGCACATTGTCTAACTGCAGTCTTGAACAGCTGCAGCCAGATGCTTTATACACAGGTCATAGGCCACTTCCTTCACAAGATTCTGTGAAGCTCATCAGAGTATCCCAGCGTCCTGTTTGCAGGCCGGGGGGTACGAGTGAACTGCACAGATTGTTCATAAGGGTCCGCACGATAATGCTACATTGTACATGTTGTACCACATCTGTTTGTGCATCAAATCGATACAGCAAGATACAAGTGTGTACAGTGAGCTTTATATAGCTCTATAGTATAAACTGCAACTTTCACTGTTTTCCCATGTAGCCTGGTTTTTCCTTTTTTTTGAAATTGCCAACAAAAGACATTCAAAAGCTTTCTTTTTCATTGTCTGAGAAATTACTAAGTAAGTTGTAAAGTTGTAAAGTTGGTTACGGTTAGTTACGGGTACCCAATTCCATAATCTGGAACCGCTTCCTGACATCAGCGTACTCGTGATGTCCAGCGCTGTCTGCCTTGAAAACGGCCCCCATTTGTCAGACAGTGTCCAGCCCCCTCGCCTTCTTCCCCTTATGCTGTTTGATTTGCAGTGGCCGGGTAATGGAGGAAAAATTCCTGGTTTTTGTAAAGTTTATTATTTTTTTGTTCTGATGGCATCTGCAACAGGAGAAAGACATGGGCCCGAAGAGTTCCCTGGAGCTGATGCGGGAGTTTGGCATCGAGGAGTTTGAGATGGAGTACATGGATGCTGATTACGAGAGCCTGATCAACTACAAGCTCTTCTGCCAGCACGTCCGCCCCCTGGTCATCGAGAACGCCCCCAATTTGCCCATGACCAAAATGACCACGCTGCTGGCGTCCCTGTGGCGGGAGTTTGCGGCCAGCAACCCCAAGCGGGGCACCACAAGGCCCCCGCCGCCCCAGCTGATCATGTCATCGCCCGAGGCACCTCCGAAGGAGGCCCCTCCCCCGCCACCACCGCCACCAAAGGAGGCGGAGCTTCAAGAGGAGGAGAGGGAGGAGGAGAAAGAGGAGGAGGTAGAAGAGCAGAAGGAGGTCAAGGAATCTAAAGGTTAGTCGTAACACTGTGGGAATCCAAGTGTTGTAACGAGTCGCTGAATTTTGTGACTTGAGTCGAGTCAAGTCCTTTAACCCTAATTCCCTAGGCCTTTTAGCAAGGATGTAGCCTCAATCCTGCAAAATCCTCCTATTGGCCTCATGGGGGGAAAAAAAGCCTCAATCCTGCATATTCCTCCAGTATTTCTTGAATATGGTCCGTGGAGGGGTGACCCCTGCCTGAATCCTGCAAAATCCTCCAATTGTCCTCACGCAAAAAACCCCTCAATCCTGCATATTCCTCCATTATTGATTGAATATGGTCTGTGGAGGGATGACCACTGCCTGAATCCTGCAAAATCCTGCGGCAGTGATTCAATATGGTTAAGGCTTGGCCAGTGACATTCTGGAGCAGTACAGAGGATTGGAGCATAATCCAGGCCTATATTGATGCATCCATGGATTGGGATCCATGGGTTTTGTACCCCCTCGGGTGCAAATGGCGCCCTCGTGTGTACAAAACACCATGGACTCCATCACAACAGGCATCAATTGTATATTGTACACTTTTCTAGTGAACATTGGTCTTGTGTAGTCTGTCATACATGCCGAAACAGTTGATTTTGAGTGGAATTTTTTTTCTCTATTTTCAGGTAAGAGCAAATCAGCCAGCAAAGACAAATCCAAGGGGAAAAAGAAGAAAGTGGCTCCCCTCAAGATCAAGATTGCCGGTCAGTCTGGACGAAAGAGGAAAGCGCACTCATCGGTAAGTCACATTGTAACATATTACCCCCTTTCATCATCCTTTTTCTTAGAGATGATTTTGACACAAATTCCTTTAGGCTTACATGGCTTTCATTCAGCCTTTAACCCTCCCAGTCATTTGCCCTTCAAAACCCTTCAAATTTTGCCTGCAAGCACTTTTTGCCCGTAGAGTTAGCACCCACACTTCAAAAACCGTAGAGGTAATCTTCTGTGGAGCATGGATAACATTTCAAAACCCTTCACAATATTCTTTTGTGTGGTTAAGCTCAGTGAGAGTTGGTGGATTCTGTCACGCTTCACTGATCTCCACAGTGCTGTGTTTTGTGCATTGACTCTCTGACACAGTGACGTAGTTTAATACTTCATAATATTTCAGGTATTTAACAGGTTTTAGATATTGCAGTGAATATTGACTTCCCTGTTGGAGGGTTAACCAATATTCTACTACATGCTTTGTATCAGTGTTGTAGTCGAGTACTTTTTTTCTGAGTACCGAGTATGCCGACTACATGTACTTATGTTACTGAGTACGAGAACTTGTACTTCTGATTACAAATTTAGGTCTCCGAGTACAAGTACTTGTACTTCGAGTACTTCTATTTCCGAATACGGCCATATGGCAAATGGTTCATTGTGCATAATTGGCCCAGGCCCAGTCAGACCAATACTGACCCACTCACGGCTAGCTGTCAAATGTGTTTGTCCGGACGTGCACAGAGAAAAATCAGGAAACTTTGATTTCTCTGCAAGCCAATCAACCATTTCCAACTGAAAGTATCGATAATAAAATAAGGCGGTGGTAATTCAAGCTATACCATTTTTTTTTAGTAGTGCTATTCGAGTACGAGTACTTTACTTTGCTGATCTAGTACAATTTCAATATGTCGGCTACGAGTACTTTGCTGCCCGAGTACGAGTACCGTCATTTCGAGTACGACTACTCTGACATTCGAGTACGAATACCAGTACGAGTACTCTGAGAAAAGTACTTGAGGAGTACTCAAGTAAGAGTACTACAACACTGCTTTGTACCCTTATCCAATTTCCCGCTTTCTTTTTCTTCCAAAGAGCGACAGCGGAAGCAACTTCAGCGATCAGCTCCCCAGCGACCTGTCGGACGAAGAGGCCAAGAGCGCCCCCTCGGTCCAGTCAGACAGCTCGGCCAGCCGCTCCTCGGCGCGCAAAGCCAAGAAACCCAAGCCCAAGAAGATGCCGATCAAGAAGAAGAAGAAAAAGAAGAAAGGCTCAGAGGAAGACGGCTACGAGGTGAGTCTCTAATTTTCGCGAGTATAAAAAAAACCCATGATTTGATAAAAGGCAAAAGTTTGTTGCAAAAACAAGATGATTAGCCAGTTGTTCAACAGGGCCTGTTCTAACCACATGTAGCATCGTGACGTTGGGTGTTATCCCTGGCTGCATGGCATATACAGGTTTATGGCTTCTGATTAGCGCCACTTGAGCAGAGACATTGACAAAACGGGGAACCGCCAACATAAGGCAGGATAGCTCAGTTGGTAGAGCCCCGGAGCGGCAATCATAAAGTCTCAGGTGCAAGCCCCGCTCCAGTCAATTTCTTTGTTACAAATTTTTAAATAACAGACTGTGACAAGTTTAACTTCTTATACTGAATATACACAAGTCTGTGTCAGCAATGGTAGCCAGCTGTGCAGCCAAAACGATGCATATCAGCAGAAAATACTGTAAAACATGGTACGGGTCAGAGTTTCAGAATTTTAAGGTTACTTTACAACAGGAACTGTCTCCAAAGTTTTTTTTGTATCGGTAAGTTTTTATGCATACAGGGCATTGTTGATTGAGACATGAAAATCATCAAAATCTTAATGCGTGGACTAGCAGTTTGCATACTGAACTGACAATTACTGAGGCGTCCCAATACAATGAAGCAGTTCCTTTGAACTAGCTGATTCTCAACTTATCAGTGACCACTCACACCCCTGAGTACAGGAGATTGGTGATAACATTTTTCATTTGATGATAAATGCATGAAATTTGGCACCCAGTCAGAGTACATGTATATCATGGGAAAGATATTTGGCTATAGGGCCATCGCAGATTTGTCCTTTGAAAAAAATATCATAGGATAACGAGCAATTTTCCACATTTTCCAAAAGGCGGCCATTGCATGTTATTCTACGATATTTTTTTCAAAGGACAAATCTGCGATGGCCCTCAAGCCAGATATCTTTCCCATTATATACTTTGACTGTGTGCCAAATGTCATGCTTTTATCATCAAATGAACAATTCCATCATATTGTGCACCAATCTGCCTGACTGCTAATACTTGTTGATTTTTGTATAATGTTTGCATTAAAGGGAATATACAACATTTGCAAACATCGAAAAATAAAACTACCAAGTTTTTAAGAAATACCTTACTAGGATGTTGGTAAATGACAGTCTAAAGCATCCTGTAAAATTATGGCACCTGGTGTGAAGTCATTTTCAAGAAAATGGTATTTTTGTATACATTTCCCAACGGTGGTCGGCCGACCACCGTTGGAAAAACCTAACTATATTTCAACTACTGCTCCAAATTTACCTTGTTTCAGTCCAAATTTTGTTTGGTATTCGTTACATGTTCATGAATGGGTGCAGGCCAGCTAGACTGGTTCCCTTACCTTACAATTTTCTGGCAACTATAAATTGATCCATTTCATCTTTAGTGGAATCAGGGAACCAGACTACTTGAACAATTTTGTTTTTCTTGGTTTTTCCAGCATTTTCGAACAAAACACTTCAAACATGTCAGTGTAACAATATTTGATATATTATACTAACGCCTCAAATACTCCATTTCTGAAAATTACAGCAAAAGCCAATGATGTACATTCTCTTTAACATGCAACTTGGCTGAAATAAGAACCCTGCTAAATGCAACAAATTGCAACAGTGGCTTCTGTTGCATTGTGCAGTGAATCCAGTGCACACCAGCCTTGGCACCAAGCAGTTACCCTGCTAAATGCAACCAAATGCAACAATATATTCTCTTACATTGTACAGTGATACCAGTGCATACCAGCCTTGGCACCAAGCAGTTACCCTGCTAAATGCAACAAATTGCAACAGTGGATTCTGTTGCATTGCGCAGTGAACCCAGTGCATACCAGCCTTGGCACCAAGCAGTTACCCTGCTAAATGCAACCAAATGCAACAATATATTCTCTTACATTGTGCAGTGATACCAGTGCATACCAGCCTTGGCACCAAGCAGTTACCCTGCTAAATGCAACAAATTGCAACAGTGGCTTCTGTTGCATTGTGCAGTGAATCCAGTGCACACCAGCCTTGGCACCAAGCAGTTACCCTGCTAAATGCAACCAAATGCAACAATATATTCTCTTACATTGTGCAGTGATACCAGTGCATACCAGCCTTGGCACCAAGCAGCTACCCTGCTAAATGCAACAAATTGCAACAGTGGATTCTGTTGCATCGTGCAGTGAACCCAGTGCACACCAGCCTTGGCACAAAGCAGCTACCCTGCTAAATGCAACCAAATGCAACAGTGGATTCATTTGCATTGTGCAGTGAAACCACTGATGCTTTTCTTGTTGCATTTAGCAGGGTTATGGTCAAGGAGTTTAATTTTGGGGTTTTGCAAGTCACCAAAGTAGTTTCGTAAACAGTCTGTACAAGCGTACTTGGGTGGAACTCAAATCCTCCTGTGTACTACTGTACGTTTTCTGTACTTTTCCTCCAGACTGACCATCAGGATTACTGTGAGGTGTGTCAGCAGGGAGGGGAGATCATCCTCTGTGATACCTGCCACCGAGCCTACCATCTGGTCTGCCTGGACCCAGAGCTGGACGCTGCCCCCGAGGGCAAATGGAGCTGCCCCCACTGTGTAAGTAGGAAACCAAAAACCAAAATAAATCTGCAAATGGTCCTTTGAACTCTGTCCTAGAAGAGCAGCTCTTGGCACAGATGTGCAATGTTTTTGTGTGGACTGCGGGCGCACTGTAATGTTCGTCATTCCTCTCTGTATTGTCATCATTTGGGAGGTACTTGTGGGTGAAGTTATGGGCTTTCAGCACACCGATCCCTCTTGCTGTCTGAACAATCGCAGACAGTCAAAAGAAATTCAGTCCATGCCATACCTTTATACACAAGCTAGTCACCAGCAGCCAGATGATCACATTTCTAGTAAACAATGTGACTAGTCAAATTTCATCAACTGACCAAAGCAGGTATCCGGTACGTACAGCTGGCTTATCAAGCGCGTACAGTCAAAGCACAGGGCCCAATTTCATAGCACTGCTTAACAGTAAGCAGAAAAGTTGTGCTTACTATAGCAGAAAATCATGCTGCTGTTTAAGCACTATTTCATGCTAACCGGTTGCGCGCACATGGAGATTTCTATTGTTACGTCACTGATTTAAGCAAAGGTTTCTTCTGGGGTTAAGCGTGCTTTTGCTGTGCTTACTGCTTAACGGTCCCTATGAAATAGATGGAGACACGGTATGCACAAAGTCGGCTGTTAAGCAGCGCTATGGAATTGGGCCCAGGTGGATCAAGCTACATAACCAGCCATAGCCAGTCAATGATTCTATGGGTAAACAGGGAGCTCTTAGCCTTACAAAAACAGTCAATTGATTGATGTTGACTGCTGACTTGACTTCACTGAATTTGTCAGCCAGAGGGAGAGTTATTTTAATGGTTTGTGGGGGGAGTTTGTGGGGGAGTGTGGCGTAGTGGTTAGGGTTCGTGACTTATGATCAGAGGGTCGGAGGTGCGAATCCAGCTGCTGGCTGTGTGTTGTGTCCTTGGGCAAGCCACTTCACCCCCACTTGCCTCTCTTCGCCCGGGACTATGAATGGATACCGGCATTAGCCTGGAAGTAACCTGGGATGGATCCCGTCCAGGATGGATCCCGTCCAGGATGGATCCCGTCCAGGATGGATCCCGTCCAGGGGGAATAGAAGTATTCTCAGTTATTTCCTGCTACTGAAACCGGAGATGAACGTCGGCCTGATGGGCCACATAGGGCTGTGGGGGACTGTGGTCCAATGGTTACGGTGTTCGACTCGTGTGCCGTGGTGCATGGGTTCAAATCCTGACCGTGGGAACATGGCGCTTGTGCTCTTGAGCAAGGCACTTTACTATTATTGCTCCGTCCTTCGGATGGGACGTAAAGCCGTAGGTCCCGTGTGTTGTGTAATGCACGTTAAAGAACCCAGTAACACTTATCGCTAAGAGAAGGGGTTTGCCCCGGTGTTTCTGGCAGTGGCTGCAATGTGCGCCGCAGCACCTTGTAAACCATTATAAGGTGCTACATAATGGGTCTCATATTTCTCATAAACTTTATTTACCTTTCTTTAATAATTGATATAATTTCCAGCGCCTTGAGTACCTAATTGTTGGTAGATACGTGCGCTATATAAGACTCCGTTATTATTATTATTATCCCTCTCGATTGGCCAGGAAACGGAGGGTGTGCCCGTGCAGGAAGAAGAACAAGACGAACACATGGAGTTCTGTCGCGTCTGCAAGGACGGTGGGGAGTTACTGTGCTGTGACCAGTGCCCCTCATCCTATCACATCTTCTGCCTCAATCCACCACTCAAGGAGATCCCGGACGGGGAATGGGTCTGCCCACGATGCTCGGTGAGTCCAGCCAAGAGATAGGGTGCACTTGGGTTGAGAGAGGGGGTCTGTTAAATGGGTTGGGAGGCGCATAAGGCCGAGCAAAACAAACTTGTTTATCGTCTAGGTTTTTTGAAAAAAAAGTGGCCCTTTTTTTAAAATTTTCTTTTTGAAGATGGCGGATTTTCCAAGATGGCGGATTTTCCAAAATGGCGGATGGATTCTTCCATTTTCCGGACTCTTTTGCTGATACCAAATATGGGGGTTGATTTAGATGAGGGGGATAGCTCTATTTTGTCGTAGAATTTAGTAACTTTGCGAAAACAATTTTGAAGTGAATTACTTTTTGGAGAAATCAGATTCTTAAAATTGATAACTTTCAAAGCTGGCCTCCCTGCAATAAAATGTATTGTCTTACTGTGCTTAGGAACAGTACATGATATGTGGGATGTAGGTAATAGTTACTGTACATAGATTTTCCTAATTGCTTCGATTTTAACATAGTCAGGCATGCAATTTTTCCTCGGAACAGCTGATTTCCTCATTTTTCACTTCACACTTAGGCCAAAAAAAAAAGTCTCTGGTTTCTGGTATGCGCGTGTGTCGCCGTAGCCATGCGCGTCGGCAAAATGAAAATTTTTTTTTTCAATGAAAGATGATGTCTCAAAACCGCCAAACTCACTGGTTTGACTGGAATCCTGCTACTGCACAATTTTAACGTGTTTTTAGATGGGGTTATGATCGAGAATAAGCTTTATGTGGCCTCTCTGGACTCCCATATATTTGCACTAAGTTTAGTCGGGCACCATTTGCAGTCATCAGCTGACATTTGAAGCAAAAAAGTCAGGTAAAAAAAACCCAAAAAGCCGCGTCGCCGCACCACTTTTTGGACAAGCTCCATACCAGAAACCGGAGACTTATTTTTTTTGGCCTTATGCCATTAAATACTGAAAAACACTGTACAAAGTCTTGTATAGATGGGAGTTTCCTCGTTTTTTTGTTTCTGCCAAGTTGCATGCCTGCAAAGTAAATTTCATACGATATATATAAATAGTATTTTGCCAAGCTGTCAGAAATCACAGCCTTTTGTATTTAATTTTGATCTGCATTTTTCCAGTGTGAGCCACCCAGGGGCAAAGTTCAGAAGATCCTGACCTGGCGTTGGACCTCGCCCCCTGTCAACACGGACCCCCTGGACCCGGAGTGCGGCAGCCCCACCAAGAAGGAGCCCGGCCTGAAACCCACCCGGGAATTCTTCTGCAAATTCCACGGCATGTCCTACTGGCACTGCGACTGGGTCTCGGAGCTACAGGTAGGGACACTTGCACTACTACACCCTCCAAAACACAACAATATGCACCAGAAACGGAATTGCCCTAGGATTGCTCTGCCGACATTACCACAGATAATGAGCAGTCAATCCCTATCCAGTTATCTGATACTAACCCTCCTTTTGTTTGATCAGTTACAGAAATAGAGCTATATTAAATTACTAGAGCGCTAACTCGATGTACAAAGTAATGCCTGATGGGCGCATCCATGTTTGTCCACAAACCTATGGAAAACTCAAAAGTTTGTACGGCATTTGTACGGCTATTTGCATATCTGCGTTTGTATTCCAAACAGGTGTGTTATCGAAGCCGATACGTCCCAAAACCGAAACGCACAATCAGCAAATGAGCGTTTCATTTTGCTCTACGCAAACAGCGCAACGTGTGCGCGTCCCTCCGCTGCAGATGCTTTTTGCCGTGACGTTTTCTGAACCGTCATGACGCGCTTAAGTTGTTTGCGTATCTTCTACTTGCGGCGTTGCATTTAGAGTACACTTTTAAAATTCAATCCATCTATTTTGATTGTGTTCTACAAACACGCATATAAATTCAAAATGTCTGCGCCCAGAGCAGCTTCAAAGCGACTCCGCGCGCAGGAATGACAAGTTAGCGCTCTAGTGATTTAATATAGCTCTATGGTTACAGACAGTCAAAACTTCAATCCTGTTCCCCTGCCATGCCTTTTACACAGGCTGGTCACCAACAGTTAGATCAGATTTCTTGTAGGCACTGCGACAGTCAAATTCCATCAACAGACAAAAGCAGGTGACTGGTAGGCACAGCTGGCGTATCAATCTCCCACAGTCAAAGCATAGCTTCATCAGATTTCAAAACAATCACAGCCAGTCAATCCTGCTTTATGAAGGCAGGGAGCACTCAACTGTTAAAAGACAGTCACTTGCTTTATTTTGACTGCTGGGCTGGCCTTGTTGAAATTGCCAACCAGAGATATGATGCTGATTTGCCAGGCAAATGATTCCAATCCCAACTGCAGCCCTTTTCACAACGTGAAGCATTTTACACACAGCTTACATGACACAGCACTGAAATTGAATAAGGCAAGGCACTTGGTCACGGTGTCCAAATATGTTGTGATCAAATGATAATTGTGTAGTGATGCGTGACTGAAATTAAATGAAAGTCATAGGGGTTGAGGCCAAGGCTCAGAGATGAAACTTTCCTGATTTTAATCGGTGCTCAGACTTTTTGAATTTCCCAACGAAATTCCCAATTTTTTTAGGATTTGTCCAACTAAAGTTGAATGTTTACGATTTTTCCACAATATGTGATTGTATTTAAATTATTTGGATTTTTTATTATTTCGCAGATGGAAGTGTTCCACATTATCTTATACCGTAACTACAGCCGCAAGTTTGACATGGAGGAGCCTCCTCCTTTGGAAGACGGGGAGACCTACGGAGGCAACTGGCGGCACAAACACGGCAACAAAGGCAACGATGAGCACCACATCAACCTGGAGGAGAAGTTCTATCGCTACGGCGTGGCTCCAGAATGGCTCCAGATACAGAGGTAACCATTTTCTTTCCTTGAAACCCTTTTTTGGGTCTCTGTTTGATTACTTTAACCCTAACCCCCTAGGCCCTTGTTGCTTACAACCATCCTCAATCCTCCAAAATCCTCCAAAATTTTCCAAAATTTTGCAACTCCGCCTAAATTTTTCAAAATTGTCAGACAGTCCTGCCTCAAAATGCATTCATCCTCAATCCTCCAAAATCCTCCGCATCCCAAAACTTTGCACTCGTGTTTAAATGAAGGATAACCAACGCCAAATCCTTCAAAATCATCAGACAGTCCTGCCTCAAAATGCATTCATCCTCAATCCTCCAAAATCCTCTTGTGCTTCATTCACCATTCATCCTCAATCCTCCAAAATCCTCATGTGCTTCAATCACCATTCATCCTCAATCCTCCAGAATCCTGTATTTGATTCAATCACCATTCATCCTCAATCCTCTAGAATCCTCCAAAACCGCCAGGAGGATTTTGGAGGAGTGAGGTGGGTTAGGGTAAACCCCCAAGTAGTTCCTCAGGACTACCCTGCTAAATCCAAGAAAATCCAACCGGAGTTTCCTGCTCAATCCACTGTGCCTTATTTTTAGTTGTCTGCTGAATCCAACGGAGTCCAACTTGGTGTTATAATGCGGTCCTGTTGCCTGCTGAATTCAATATTTGCATCAGGAATGTGCACAAGGGGTTTACTGCTCAATCCAACAGGCTCCATCGGGTTTATGATATGGTTGGATCCTGTTGGATTCAGCAGGGTTAGGGTATCAGGTTTGTGATTCAGAGGATATACTGTGTTATTTGTCTGGTATTTCAGATTACTTGTATTCGGCTTAAACCTTACCCTGGTGGCCTGTTTGCTAGGATGCATGCAAAATATCCTTTCAAAATACCTCAAAAAGTGCCTGGTGTTGATGCTTGCATGCTTTAGGCCAGTTAGGTTTAATTTGATAATTGTAATCAATTTGGTTCATTGATAAAAATCAACTGATTTTTCTTCCTTTTTCTAGATTAGATTAGTTTAGATTAGATTTATAGAAGTTTGTTAAAGTTTTTCAAATTGTGTCATTTCCAAATGCTTAATTTCTACATGCTTTCTACATGCGGATTATTGAGGTCAAAGGTAATGTAGGGGTCGTTAGAAAGGTCATGTAGGGGTCACTAGAGGGCAGTGTTCAAATAGGCTCAAAGTATTTTACTTCTACTTGGATGGAGTAATCCTTTGGTGGGGGTTCCGAAATTGAAGGTCAAAGGTCATGTAGGTGTCATTTGAGGTCATTGTACAAAAAGGAACACATTTTGACTTTTTGTAAGAACACAAAGCATATAGGGATCGACTGTAGAAAAAGGCGACACATGCGGTCTGCGGACCTTTTGTTTTAACTTCTCCTGTGTGCCATTAAAAACACAAAAATCACCACGGAAAATCTTGTAAAATTTGGAATGGCCTATCTGTTTTGGGTGAATTCCTAGTTGCATGCCTTAAAATTAGTCCCTGGGTTTTGTTACCCACTTAAACATAAAATATTTACAGATACAGTAAACTCCGGCCAAGCCAACATCGTACAACTCGTCAAATCGCTCAAGTCGGCCGTCTGACTAAAGTCCCGATTGTCTGTAATGCATTTCCATTGAATTTTTTATTTCTAAGTCGACTTTTATAAGTCGCCATTTTGCTGAAGTCGTCGTGTTGCTCTCGGTCCCCTTTCCATAAAAAGCCTAACAAAATCCTTTGTGTAAGCCGGCATTCAAAAATCACGCATTGGCATCGACTTCCTATTGCGGTTGGCAAGAAGTGTAGAGTGAAAAGTGTTTTCGCACCGCCCGTGATCGCTGCATGCATCGGTGTCGCAAAAGGGTTTCCTACTGCATACATCGCATATGCATCGTGAGCATATCAATACCAGTACCCCCTCTAGTCTGTACGCATGCACTCTGTCCATTTTGGCATGTTTGGGGTCGTCTTATAGAATGATGCAGTCAATACCAGTGCTGCCGTCAATGCGTGCATGGTATACCACGCACGCATTTAATTCGTAACTGTGCACGTACATGTATGACTATGTTGTACACGTGGTCTCCACTATCAATGCCCCAAACGTGATGATAAAATTCGAGGATTAATTTGCTGGATTCAACTCAAGCATTAAGGAGATAAATCAGGGTAAATCGAAGCCAATTAGTGCAATGAATCATGTGTGCAAAAAGGCCATTCATGTAAGTCGGCAAAATGACGACTTACAGCAGATATCGGCATTCGCTTAAGTCGTCACAAATTCTCGGGTCCCGAGAGTGCCGACTTAGCCGGAGTTTACTGTATATTCCAAACTTTAATAATTCCTTCACTTGATGCTTAATCCTGTTTATTGTTTCTGTTTGTTTGTTTTTGCTTACCTAACAGAATCATCAACAAACAGGTGCGTCCTCGCTCGGGCAAGACCCTGTATCTGATCAAGTGGCGCTCGCTGAACTACGACAACTGTAGCTGGGAACACAACGATCTACTGGATGATATCCCTGACGGACCCAAGCACATCGATTACTACAACTCACACAAGTAAGACTGTCAATACTTTTTATTATTTTCCCGGATTTTTCTATTGGATCGTAGCCAATTACAGTGAACATTAACTTATTAAATTAAAGGGAATATACAACATTTGCAAACATCGAAAAATAAATCTACCAAGTTTTTACGAAATACCTTACTAGGATGTTGGTAAATGACAGTCTAAAGCAGCCTGTAAAATTATGGCACCTGGTGTGAAGTCATTTTCAAGAAAATGGTATTTTTGTATGCATTTCCAACGGTGGTCGGCCGACCAGCGTTGGAAAAACCTAACTATTTTTCAACTACTGCTCCAAATTTAACATTTTTCAGTCCAAATTTTGTTTGCTATTGGTTACATGTTCATGAACGGGTGCAGGCCAGCTAGACTGGTTCCCTTGCCTTACACTATTCCATCATCTATAAATTGATCCCTTTTATCTTTAGTGGAGCCAAGGAACCAGACTACTTGAACATTTTTGTTTTTCTTGGTTTTTCCAACCTTTTCGAACACAAAACTTCAAACATGTCAGTGTAACAATATTTGATCTACTATACTATTACCCCTCAAATAGTTCATTTCTGAAAATTACAGCAAAAGCCAATGATGTACATTCCCTTTAATATAGGCTAGTTGTCTCTGACGAAAACCATTTTTAAGTAAATGTTGGATTGCTGTATGCTAAGAATGTTTGTTTTGATAAATTGTACAAATTATACAAATCTTCATTTCCAATCTATTCATCATCGTTTAAAAATCGTCTATCTGGTTTTTCAATTACAATATCCGATTACCGGTACCTTTGACACTAAACAAATGTTAATTTGTTCCCCCGTTTGCTAGGAGAACCATGCACACACCGGTGGAAACCAAAGTGAGCAAAAAGAAGAAGGGGGGAAAGGGCAAAAAGTCCAAGAAAGAGGAGAAAGAGGAAGAAGAGGAGAAAATCGATGTAAGTAACTCACCCTGAATTTAAAAAACAAAACAATCACAACCTCTCTATGCCTCAAATCTCAAACCGTAACCCTCTGAGATCCTACAAAAATCCACAAGCTTGGAGGATTTTGTATGATTAGGGAAGGCAGGTAGAGACCAATCAATGTGACATAACATTGGGCTTGTGAAAGTGGATTTAAACTCAACTCCTAAAAACCTGTCAACCTCTCTGTCTTTGTGCTTCAACCCTTCAAACTCCATCAGGAGATTTCTGTAGGAAGTTGAAGGATTTTGGGAGGTAGAGACCGTTCATTGGGATTTTACATGGGGCTTGTGAAAGTGGATGTAAAACTCACTCCTAAAACATGGAAATCTTCTTAACCTCTGTGTCTTTGTGCCTTAGCTGTTCAAAATCCACCATTAAAATTTTGTAGGATTTTGAAAGGTACATGTAGAGCCCATCCCTGTGACTTTTCATGGGGCTTGTAAACTCACTCCTGAAATTTTAAACCTCTCAACCTCTCTGTTTTTGTGCCTCAGGCTTTCAAAATCCATCAGGAGATTTCTGTGGGATTTTGTAGGATTTTGAAAGGTAGAGGCTATTCACTGTGACTTTACATGGGGCTTGAGAAAGTGGATGTAAACTCACTCCCTAGAAGCCTAAAACCTCTCACCCTCTCTGTCTCTGGCCTTAATCCTTCAAAATCCACCAGGGGTTTTCTGTAGGACTTTGAAGGATTGAGGAATGCAGAGCCCATTGACTTTGACTTTACATAGGGCTCGTGAAAGTGGATGTAAACTCACTCCCTAGAAACCTAAAACCTCTCACCCTCTCTGTCTCTGGCCTTAATCCTTCAAAATCCACCAGGGGTTTTCTGTAGGATTTTGAAGGATTGAGGAATGCAGAGCCCATTCACTGTGACTTTACATGGGGTTTTTGAAACTCACTTCTAAAAAAGTCTTAGCCTTTCTGTGCTTCTGTGCCTCAACCCTTTGGCTCCTGTAGGATTATGCGGAATTCTGGAAGGTGAATTTGATGCATTATTTGTCGGTAGCGCACTCCTGGAAAAAAAAATCTCATCCAATTTGTACCTCATTTTGGATAAAACCAGCTACATGTAGATCTCACCCATGCAACAGGAGGCTAGAATTTATCGGGGAAAAATTCAGTATACTCAGCATGGGTGTCCCAAAGGTTAAGATAACGCCTCTAATCGACCCTCATCCAAACCCCACCCCCTTTTAAGGGCAAGCGGAGGCGGGACGACGATGAAGACGAGGATAGAGAAGAAATTAAAATGGATGTGAGTTCAAGGAACTTTTGTTGTTCGGAATGTCATGTCAACGAAAAAAAAAGAAAAAAATACTGCTTGCAATTTCGCAACCCCAGCATCCTAGATGCCTGTCGTTGTTATTAATTTGCGTTATTTAGTTTCTCTCCTTCCCCTCCATTCAGTTTATTGACACCATAACAGCAAGTATGTTGCATGCCACGGGAAAACTACAACTTGATTCATTTGCCCCCGCGGCTTTTCCTTGTTTATATCCAAGCCAAAATTTTTGATGGCACTGTTTATTGAAGTAATGATCTTTTCAGAACTGAGACGATTGTGGCCTGGTATCAGCTTGCTTTTTTTCAAAAGATAATTCCATCATCGGCTTCTACTTTAAAACAAACTTTTTTTTGCTACTGTACACAAATTTAAAAAGCCGATCTTTTAAACCTCCGTTAACGCTCCAGTCAAGATAATCTGCATGCGTAAAGGCCGTTTCATAGTCGGTGCAAAAGTGAAAGGCAAACGTCAATTTCAGCTCTTGCGAATTGCGACGCCACTGTTTCACGACGTCAAGTTTTTTTTCCACAAAGCATGAAGATCGAAACTGGTCTTACGCTTGACTATCTGTAAAGTCATAGTGAAGTCGTATATGGAAATGTAAATTATAAATTTCTTATCAAATTTCTTCAAAGAAACTTAAACCTTTCTCTCAGTTACTCACAGAAGTTGTAGTTCTTCCCCCTTCAGTTTTCATAGTGACGTAATACATGTCGTTATACGCCCCCTTCTTTTGCGTCTAAAACCTGTCATCCATTCTTGATAGTTGCCGCAAGCCTCCTGCAACAAGTGTCTGTGTTCTCAATTTGTTTATTAATTTTTGCATGGCCACAGAGTACATGTGCCTGCTGTCATTTTGTCGTATGTCATCCTGGTCTGACAATAGATGAACAAGAAAGCATTGTTCCGAACAAAGTAGAAGAAATCTACAATGTAACTCTCATTTTTCGTAGAACAAAATTATTAACAGTCTGCATGCTGGAATCCCCCCCCCCCTCCCCCCCATTTTCAGATAAATTTCATTTGAACAAGTGTCTAATGAAACAAAGCTGTCAATTTTTTTCAATGACAAAAAAAAATAAAATCACTTTTCAAATTTTTATTGAAACAAGAAAATTCAATCTTTGTATACATTGGACTTATGTTTAAAGACATGCTTGATGAAATTGTATTTGTAATTGAGAAAAAAATTGAGATCAGTCTAATGTGTGATGAAATTGAAGACCGTCTTTTATTTACCCCCCCAAAAAAAAATTAGATGAATGCAGGATTAAATTGTAGAGTGAGATACCGGTATGTCCTAAAACTTGATGAGTTTTCCTGTTTTGCGTGGAGTTATAAATTGATTTAGTGAATCTCTAGAAGTTAATTACTTTTTTCCCTGTTACAGTTGAACACCATTTATAACAAGGTCTTTCGGACTTTACAAATTACCTTGTTATAAAGGTACCTTGTATTATCAGTAGTGGAAAACAAAGGAAAGCAAATGAAAACAAAGACTTTGGGCCTACCATTTTCCTTGTTATAAGCAGGATGTTGTATAACAAGTGTTCTCCTTATCAGAGTTCCACTGTAAAGTTGTTTCAGTTGTCTTTATTTTTATTGTTCAGTGTCTCAAGATGTGCCGCTGTAATTTTTAATTTTGGCTTGTGAGGAATGAAGCTGCTTTGCCTGAATCAAAAACGCTTTAAAAATAATTGAAAACGTGCAACAATGTAGCATGTCTGTGGACAGATTTTGATCAGTTTGTTTAGTTCAAAGTTGTCAAAATTACATGTGTTTTTGTTGTGATTGTTCGTAGCATTTGTTTTTAAGCCGATTAGATCAGGCAAATGACTCATGGAAAAAAGACTTCAATGCTACTAGAAAATGAAAAACGTGGTTTATAAAGTTCCAACACATTGTTAAAATTTCTGTTGTATACATGCTAAATTTTCTTAGTTTAATACCTGTGTCGTGTCACACACAACTGTTATATGCCAGGTTTTGCCCTACGCCTAATTTATTTCTAAAGCATGCTAGATCTGGAGGCCAATTATGTGAAGCACATGGTACTGAAATGGCTTCAGAGACAACCCGCAATCAACTTATTTGGTTTTTCTTGGTTACAACCCGATACTTTGATGATGTTCTTTGCCAACATTTTGTCCCCTTTCCTTATTTGACTAAAAAGTTGTCTGAGAAAAGATACTGATTGCCCAGATTGCACTAAGCACAAAAAGCTTTACTTAAAGGTGACATACAACATTTTCTTTTGCTGTAACTTTTAGAAATGGATGGGTTTGGGGGTTAGTATACAAATACAACATGGTTTGCAGGGAAATAATGAAAACTAATAACCCCGAGGTGTTGGATGATTGGGACTATCTCCCGAGGCGAAGCCTTTTATGTTCAAAAATGCAGTTTCATAGATTAGGGCCAGCTTACTGAAAAAAAAAAAATTGTCAACAAATATTTGCCAAAAAAAAATTTTTGGTCAAGATTATTTATTTATATATTTGTTTATGTTTCGACAGCCGAAGAAAAAGTACGAGGAGCAACCGGCCTTCGTCTCGGCCTGCGGAGGCAATCTCCACGACTACCAGTTGGAAGGACTGAACTGGCTGAGGTACTCCTGGGCTCACCGGCTCAGCTGCATCCTGGCTGATGAGATGGGACTGGGCAAGACCATCCAGACCATCGCATTCCTGTACTCCCTCTATAAGGAGGTCGGTATAGCAGAAGGGCATGGTGCCATGGGCGTCGCGAAAAGCAAAAAAAAAAAAAGAAAAAAAAAAAAAAAAGAAGAAAAAAAAAAAAAAAAAAAAGAAAAAAAAAGAAAAGAAAAAAAAAGAAGAAAAGAAGAAAAGAGAAAAAAGAAAAGAAAAAGAGGCGCGAAGTCATAGTGGTGTAAATTTAATGAGTTGGGGGGGGGGGGGAATGTCCCTGCCCCCCTCTAAAACTGATAAGTCAAGAATTTGTTGAGAAATACAAGAATTTTTTTGGGAAAATATGTTTTGCCCCCCCTCTAAAAAAATCCTGGCGACGCCCATGCATGGTGCCTGTTAGCCCTTGGTGTTTGATTTCAAAGGCCCCTTGCAGTTGATTTGACATGCTGCGCTGTTGTATGATCTCAATGCAATGCATGCAGAGATGAAACTTTTCAGATTTTAATCTGAAATCAGATTCTTTTTACTTTTCCCAATGAAATGTCAGATTATTTAACGATCCCACAAAAGTTATTATTTAACGATTTTTCCACAAATTTTTTTTTTTTTTCATTATGATTTCCAAAAAAGGTCCATGAAACTTCGATGAAAACGGCATGTAAAAATTGGCACAAGTGTAAAAACCCTAGACAAACACTGATCAGGTCCTTTTCCCGCTGGAGAAAAGGTTAAATATTGACCTATGACGTGGAAAAACTCACTGGGTCCCAACGTTCATGCGCTGCACTGCACCGCTCTGCGCTGCGCCGCTCTGCGCTGCGCCGCTCTGCGCTGCGCCGCTCTGCGCTGCGCCGCTCTGCGCTGCGCCGCTCTGCGCTGCGCCGCTCTGCGCTGCGCCGCTCTGCGCTGCGCCGCTCTGCGCTGCGCCGCTCTGCGCTGCGCCGCTCTGCGCTGCACCGCTCTGCGCTGCACCGCTCTGCGCGACCCTGTGGCAGCTCAGATCCAAGGTCCAATTTCAGATTTGTTTTTGCCAAGGCCAGTTTCATCTCTGTAGCATGAAACTTGTTAGGTTCAATGATGTAACCTGGAAAACCTAAAGCTGCCGTGTAAGTCTTATAGTATAGAGCATGCAACGTGACCCTAAAAACCTGCACGATTTTACAGTAGCAGAATGCATCCAGGCACCGTGTAGAGGATGTTCAACGTGTGTAACGTCCTATTTGTTTGCAATTATTGTGTGTCCTGTTTTGCTTTATGCAGTCTAGGGCAGTAAATGATTTCTGGGAAAGAAAGGAAATCATTACAGTTGACAACATATTGGAAATGCAATGTATAAGGAATTGATGGAAAACACCAAAATTTGACCTCAACTTCCGTTTAAAGGGAATATACATCATTTGCTTTTGCTGTAATTTTCAGAAATGGATGGAATTGGGGGGTTGGAAATATATAGCAAATATATAGCAAATATAGTTACACTGACTTTTTTAAGGTTTTGGGTTCGAAAATGCTATAAAAACCAAGAAAAACAATTATTTTCCTGTAGCCTGGTTCCCTGACTCCATATAAGAAGAAACAGAGCAGTTTACATACATTGGGGAATTGTAAGGTCAGGGAACCAGTCTAGCTGGCTTGTACCCGTTCATAGGTGTGTAATCGATTGCAAACAAGTGCGATGGTCAATTGGGGCAAGTATTTGAAAAAAAGCCAGTTTTTTTCCAACGCTGATCGGCCGACCAGCGTTGGAAATTGATACAAAAATACCATTTTTCTTGAAAATGACAGTATACCAGGTGCCATGATTTTACAGGATGCTTTACACTGTCATTCACTAACAGTCCAGCAAGGTATTTCAAAATGATTTGGTAGTTTTATTTTTTGATGTTTGCAAATGTTGTATTTTCCCTTTAAACTTTGGTTGAGTACAATATATCTGATTGTCCAAAATATTTTGTTACAATTTGTTTAATTTTAAGGCTGCAGATTTTCTTCTTCTTTTTTTGGGGGGGGAAAGGAGGGGATGGTTATTATGTAAGGCATTACTTATTGAAATGACTGCTTTTTATGTGATTATTAAAGTCATAGTACCTTATTCCTTGCATTTAGGGTTTGAGCAAGGGCCCCTTCCTGATCAGCGCCCCCTTGTCCACCATTGTCAACTGGGAGAGAGAGTTTGAATTCTGGGCACCAGACTTCTACGTGGTCACGTACTGCGGTGACAAGGACAGTCGCGCTACCATCAGGTATGTAGAATTCCTCTGTACATTTTGCACTTATGATTATCATTTTGTTTTTAATGTGCACAGAAACCTTAACCACTGGACGATGGCATTATTTGTGACCTGTTCTGTCAAAAGCAGACGCTTCTGGGCAGAGGTTGAAATTGAGATAGGGCCAAAAAAACGCTGTGGGATGATTTTTATCGACTTTCAAATGTTTGCATATTTGTAATCCTGAACATGTCTAAAATATATTATTTAAGTTTGAAACCCTAATTCGAACTCTACGTGTACTATTTTTGATGATTTTGATAAGGTATATCACTTTAAAGAAATAACTGTTTTGTGACGTTCATGGCCATTTTCTCTGTTTTCTACTTTTCGACACAATGAACTTAAAAATAGCATAACTCTGCCCAGGAATGACCGGTTTCAAAAATTAAACCACCTATTAAAAGGAAAAAGAACATATGTTAACAAAATGTAAAAATATCATTTTCGACCTTTTGCCCAGAAAAGTCTGATTTTGACAGAACAGGTCACATTTTTGCCGAAAATGATTTGTTGATTTTCAAAAAAAGGGCAAAATGTAGCAGCCAACTTTTGATATATATATACAAACGCCACAAACGGTTGGGTACAGTACTGTACAACATCTGATTGCCTAACTCAACCTTTTTCAGAGAGCACGAGTTCTCCTTTGAAGAGGACGCGGTGCGCGGAGGCAAGAAGGCTTACCGGATGAAGAAAGACAGCGTGGTCAAGTTCCACGTTCTCCTGACGTCGTACGAGTTGGTCACCATTGATAACTCCACCCTGCAGTCTGTGGACTGGGACGTTCTGGTGGTGGACGAAGCTCATCGACTCAAGAACAACCAGTCTAAGGTAAAGCTCAAATCTCATTTCCGTTACAACAAACGGGCCGATCCATCTTGGGCAATATCATGTGTGCCTCTTCGACGCCACTCTGCATTTTCCAGGGGCCAATTTCATAGAGCTGCTTAAGCACAAAATTTGCTTAAGCACAAAAACGTCTTGCTTAATAAAATCAGGTTACCGGCCAAAACTCCATGCGATTGTTATGCTAAGTAAAAAACAGCTAAATACCAGTCACAAGCAATGTACATTACATGGAGTTTTGGCCGGTAACCTAATTTTACTAAGCAATGTTTTTTCGTGCTTAAGCAAATGTTCTGCTTAAGCAGCTCTATGAAATTGGGCCCAGCTGTGTGCGTCAGTCGTGTGTGTACGTGCACTACATACACCCTGAGGACAGACAGACAAAGGGAGAAACAATAGATTCTTTGTTGTCCTGAAGCGTTCATCTTTTGTTGAAAATGTTCCTTGATCGTGCGTTTGTGTGCTGATAGTCTATGGGAGAGTGTTATATTACAGGGACAAAGGAAAAGACAATGCCTTGTCCTCGAGTATTATGTAAAACATGACTGTGTGCATGCATGCTAGACTTTAGTGTACACATGTTGGATGTTTGTGCACGCATGTCTGACGTTAATCACAGCTGTGATCAGTCTAAGCACGGATACTTCTGAAGCACTTTTCTTAAATATTTATAACGGTAACACTGTGAATACATTACACCATTAGAACGATCTGAAAACCCCTTTCAACTGGTGTATGGTTGTTGTATGGGCAGCCAAACATACAACATGCTAGCTTGCTGATAAGCAGTGAATAAATCTGTGTTGAGTGTGTTCTGCGTGTGGTTTCCTAGTCGACTTAAGTCACCTATGGTAAGCAGCAGGGGGGTAGTCCACAAATGTCGCCCATGGTGAGGAAAGGGTTAACAATGGCAAATACTCCAAAGCTGTTGTTCAATCTGGACAAAAGTGTGAGGGTAAAAAAACTCAAACAAATACTGATATTTTCCCAATCTGTTGTGTATTTGCAGTTCTTCAGGGTCTTGTCGGCGTATACCATCGGCCACAAGCTGCTGTTGACCGGTACCCCGCTACAGAACAACCTGGAGGAGCTGTTCCATCTGCTCAACTTCATGAGCCCCGATGAATTCTCGTAAGTGTCACACTCGAAAACAGCTCACAGCAAAGAATCGGGATCAATTCCAGAAATGTTGGAGTCTCCCTAGCCTATTTGGATATGCTCACATCAACTGATGGTTTATTTTTTCATCTCTCCCTCCAGAAATCTGCAAGTGTTCCTGGACGAGTTTGAGGACATCTCCAAGGAGGATCAGATCAAGAAGCTGCACGACCTGCTGGGGCCTCACATGCTGCGACGTCTCAAGGCCGACGTCCTGAAGGGCATCCCATCCAAGAGCGAGTTCATCGTCAGGGTGGACCTCAGCCCCATGCAGAAGTACGTCCCTCAACTCCATTCTCTCCAGCCGAAAGTGTTTTGTGTTCTTTTCAAGTTCAATGCTTGCTTCAAGATCTTACCAAGTCCGTGGGATGTTTGAATTGTTAGCTGGTGTTGTGAACAGAAATGATTCGAATTTGAATCGTTTGTTTGAAAAGCAACTCCAATGATGTACTGAAAATGGAAAAATACTGTGCTTACATTTGTTGATGCGTATTAGCCCATCAGCACCTATGAACACTGTAAACGCATGTTGTCTCGAGTAATTGTGAGAAAAATTCACAAACCACTCAGACGGGACTTGAACCCACGACCTCCTGTTTGTGAGTTTACAGTGTTTATAAAAATACGTCGGTGAAGGCCAAAACCCAATATTGAATTCACATCACTCCGACTTATGAATAACAATGTACTTTGATCTTCAAAAAAAATACTGCAATTTGGCTGTAGGCGGCACTTAAGGAATTTATATGAGGTATGGCTGGAAAAACAATACTGTAATCCCAGGATCGTCACTAATGAATCCATGGAAATATGCCAACATTTTAATGAAAATTAAAATTCATTGCCTGTAAATAAAGTTAGGTCATGCAGAAGGCACCAGAGAAATGCATGACTTAACCAAGGTTTTTTTTAATGTTTTTTATCTTGCGATCCGTAGGAAATACTACAAGTACATTCTGACCAGGAACTTTGAGGCCCTGAACACCAAGGGCGGAGGCAACCACGTCTCCCTCCTCAACGTCATGATGGACTTGAAGAAGTGTGCCAACCACCCCTACCTGTTCCCAACGGCTGCTATGGTAAAACAAACAAATAATATTCGAAAGAGAGAATGATATGGCCTTGATCACAATTTTATCCGCAAATTTTATTCCAGGTGGAACCCAGCACTTTCTTGCAATCTTACATTATCTTGTCCTTAATAATGAAAGGTTTGCAAGCAAGCAAGCACAACACAGTTCTGCAAGACATCGGGTTTCACCTCAACGAGATCTGGCTCCCACTCCTCCAGACTGATGGGTCTCCTATACCCTAGGTCCTCAGCCACCACCTTAGACTGATGGGTCTCCTATACCCTAGGTCCTCAGCTACCACCTTAGACTGATGAGTTTCCTATACCCTAGGTCCTCCCTCTACTGACACTGCAACCCTACTGTCCCACTCCAGTGGGCACCAAGCTTGCTCTAGGATCCCATCTACTTGGCATCCTCACAGGATGCAACTTCTCACTTCATTGATTTCGCCTTTTGCTACTTAAGCATTCACTTTCTTAGAGTTTAGGCACTCTCCTGAAGACGGTCAGAGCATACTGAGCGGAACGTCAAGTTTATACCTCTGGTTCTTTTCAGAACCATTCTCTTAGTTGAGAAATTATTCGCACATGGTGTTTCCGCAAACCTTTCATTATTTAGTATCTCCACCATGCAAAGCCTCAAATCTTACTTATCTTGTCCTTACAATCAAGAATCAACGTCTCTTATTCCACCACCAGAGGTATAATTCACCATTGGACATTTTTTGACTGGTTACTTTTTTGAAGGGACAAAAACTGAAATGCTTTCTATATGTGTGAAGGAATTCGGCACGTTACATGTCACTTCTGAAAATTTGATTGTGCTGCTTAGAAACTGTAAACAATAAAAGGCCCATGCAATGTAATTTGTTCTAATGCAAGACTTGAAAATGCACCTCTGTGTCCCATTTAGCCTTATTCTCAAATTGTTTTGCCATTTTTCAAGGTTATTTCGGTGCCTTTTTTGTTTTATATGCTGATAGGAAATTCCATAAAGCAAAACTGTGATATCATTCAGCTATTTAAGCACAAAAAGTTGCTAGAATTTTGGAAATTTTGCTGTCGTACATTTTTTCTTCTTAGGTGATTCGTTATTGTGTCAGTACACACGGGATTAAGCCAGTGAGCAAACCTTTCTCACAAATGTTTCCATTTGGCAAATTTTGGGTTCACGATTTGAACAGAAAACTCCTAAAAAGTTAACAGTGTCTTCATGAAATGGCATCACAGCAATAGCCCCCTCAGTTGTCTGGAAATTAACAAAAAATATGTTTAAGAAGTGCCCAAAAAATATGTTTAAGAAGTGCCCAAAAAGGGATGTCAAATAACTTTCATACATTTTAGAGGAGTAGAATGTTGCACAAAATGAGTTCCTCGGAGAAATTCATCGCATGGACCCTAGTACTCAATAACAGAAGCACTATTATGCAAAGCCATCATACAGCGATAACACGTGAACTGACAAAATTGTATGGACATCATCGTGCACTTTTGCAGGAGGCACCGCGCATGGCCAACGGTGCCTTTGAGCCCAAGTCCCTGGTCAAGGCCTGCGGCAAACTCATGCTGCTGGAGAAGATGCTGGAGAAACTCAAGGTGGAGAACCACAGGGTGCTCATCTTCTCACAGGTGAGTTACTAAGCATCGTCGATATCAGAATTCTCAATAATTGATAGTTCGGAAATCCAATATCGAGAATATTCGATATATCGATTATCCCATGTAAAAGTTAAATACCATTAAGATAACACTTTGATTAAGAAAAAAATGTTAAGTCCCAATTTTCCAAGGCTTTCTCTGGAGCATATTGCTCAAACTTTTCAAAACAAATCTCAGCATTGAGAGTTTGTCCAGAACGGGCGGTAGCTTTTGCGGTTTTACATTGGGGGAGACCGCGAATTCTAGCGAACGCAGAGCACATTGCTAAGGAAGTTGGGACGTATTGAACATGTATTAAGTTTGGTGAAATCAATCCTATGCCGAGTTATGAGTTAATACGAGTTACCCTTCCTAAGATGCGTCTCAGCGTTTCATGAAATCAGCCCCAGGACCCAGACTCGAGTCTGTCTTGAGTCACAATTTCGGTCTCAACTTGAATCTTGTTGACAAAAGACTCGGACTTGGACTTGGACTCGACTACCATAACTCGGTCTTGACACTGAGGACTTGTGATTCACATATTCTTTACCAACAGTACCTTTTTCCAAAACGTTTCAAAATAAAATTCTGTTTACTTTTTGGTCACCATGGTGATACGAATAATGCTCATAATTCGTACATGTTTTACTGCAAGTACTTCAACTTGTCTGTGAGAAAAGAGTTATTGAGTGTCAACGCTTATTAAGTTTTACATCCAAAAGCAAACTTGAATGTGATTTTTTTTTATTATCAACCCCAACATCATTATTTATCACAGAATGTGCCAATTTTAATATTTTTCTTTTCAAATAAACCACAACAGATGACGAAGATGCTGGACATTCTGGAAGACTTTCTGGAGGGCACCGGTTACAAATATGAACGTATTGATGGTGGCGTCACTGGTAGCATGCGACAAGAGGCCATAGACAGATTCAATGGTATGTCTAAGCATTGGTAATTTTTGTGGGAGACACTGTTTATGTTTGCCGTTAGAATATCTTCTCCGTACAATCAACATAGGGCAATTGTGGAAAAGCGTCTGGCTCAAGAACACAAGCACTGTGATTCCCTTCTGATTCACTTCTGCACACAAGTCAAAATCACACTTGGAAGGGAACAAATACAGTAAAGTGTCTTGCCCAAGAACACCAGCACCATGCTCCCCATAGAGGTTCCAATCCACACACTGCCACACATGAGAAGGACACAAAGTTACCTATTTGTACTCCTGGGTGGACAGAGCCAAATTGTAGTCAAGTGTCTTGCCCAAGAACATAAGCATTTGCTCCCCATAGAGGTTCCAATCCACACACTGCCACCAGAGTTGTAATGACTCGAGTCAATGACTCGACTCGAGTCCGACTCGAGTCACAATTTTTGGTGACTCGACTCGAGTCCCTAAGGGCAAATGACTCGACTTGACTCGAGTCACTGCGAGCAAATGACTCGACTCGACTCGAGTCCCTCATCAGAATGACTCGACTCGACTCGAGGAAGGCTAATGAGACTCGAGTCCCAAAAATAAAAGCAAAACTTTGCAAAAAATATTTGCAATGACTTACGCCGGTGCCGGTTTTTGTTCACGTCATGTTAGAATGTTCGTGAATAATGTATACATATAAATACATGTACGTGGTTTGATCAGTGTCCCCATTAGTTGGATGACGATCAGCTAGCACCCCCTTTTTATTTTCATTAAGAGGCAAATGTGGTGTCGCCACATGTAGTAGCCCGAATGTAAAATTTAAAAAGCCAAAAAATGACTTTCTCTCTTGTGTTTATTTATTGTATAGTGCTCAAATATTTGTGACTCGAATTTACTCGAGCTAAATACTTGACTCGACTCGACTCGACTCGACTACACACTGTGACTCGACTCGACTCCACACTGTGACTCGACTCTACTCGACCGTCTTGACCTAATGACTCGACTTGACTCGACTCGACTCGAGTCACTTCTTTAAAATGACTCGACTGGAGTCACAAAAATCAGTTACAACTCTGACTGCCACACGTGAGCACAACACACAGTCACTTATTTGTACTCCTGGATGGAGAGGGGCAAATTACAGTCAAGTGTCTTGCCCAAAGACACAAGCACCATGTTCCCCATAGAGTTTCCAATCGACGCACTGCCACACATGAGTAGATCACAGTGACCTATTTGTACTCCTGGATGGACAGAGCCAAATTGTAGTCAAGTGTCTTGCCTAAGAGCACAATCACCATGTTCCCCAAAGGGGTTCCAATCCACACAGTGCAACACATGAGTAGGACACTCAAAAATTATTCATACGCCTGGGTGGAGAGAGGCAATTGTAGTAAAGTGTCTTGCCTGGAGACACCAGCACCATGTTCCCAGTAGAGGCTCCAAACTACACACTGCCATCCATGGGTTGGAGACTCACTTACCTTTTCATACTCCAGAGTGGAGAGGCAAAGTGTAGTTAAGTGTCTTGCCCAAGGACATAAGCACCATGTTCCCCATAGGGGTTCCAATCCACACACTGCCACACATGAATAGAACACACAAAAGTTATTCATATGCCTCGGTAGAGAGAGGTAATTGTAGTAAAGTGTCTTGCCTGGAGACACCAGCACCATGTTCCCAGTAGAGGCTCCAAACTACACACTGCCATCCATGAGTTGGAGACTCGCTTACCTTTTCATACTCCAGAGTGGAGAGGCAAATTGTAGTTGAGTGTCTTGCCCAAGGACATAAGCACCATGTTCTCCATAGGGGTTCCAATCCACACAGTGCCAGACGTGAGTAGGACAAGCAGTTGCCTGATTTTACTCCTGGGTGTAGAGAGGCAATTGTAGTAAAGTGTCTTGCCTGAGAACACAAGCACCATGTTCCCCATAGGGGTTCCAACCCACACAGTGCCACACATGAGTAGGACAAGCAGTTGCCTGATTTTACTCCTGGGTGGAGAGAGGCAATTGTACTAAAGTGTCTTGCCTAAGAACACAAGCACCAAGACAACTTTCCCCTGTTTCACTCTTTTCCCCAGCTCCCGGAGCAGAGCAGTTTGTCTTCCTCCTGTCCACCAGGGCTGGAGGGTTGGGCATCAACCTGGCCACGGCCGACACGGTCGTCATCTTCGACTCGGACTGGAACCCCCACAATGACATCCAGGCCTTCAGCCGCGCCCATCGCATCGGCCAGTGCAACAAAGTCATGATCTATCGCTTTGTTACGCGGTTCTCCGTGGAGGAGAGAATCACGCAGGTAAATGCTAGCAATCAATCCCGTCAGTGTTAATCCTGGCTCTACTCTAAAAAAAAAAAAAGAGGAAAATTGACTGAAGTGAGATTCGAACCTGGGACCTCTGGAATACTGGTCTGGCATTCTATCAACTGTGACCTCTCCAGCCCTATGTTGGTAACCCGCAGCTGCATTTTAAACATGTTAAAGTCTCTATGAAAGAGAGTACATGGATAAAAAGAGAGGTTTCGCATCCGAACGGATATGTGTTAGCATACATTTAGCCACCGTAACTGTTACCATTATTATTAGCGTACACATAATATTAATAAGGTGGTGCTTAGGCCAAAAAAAAAAAGTCTCCGGTTTCTGGTATGGAGCTTGCCCAAAAAGTGGTGCGGCGACGCGGCTTTTTTTTTTTTTTTACCTGATTTTTTTGCTTCAAATGTCGGCTGATGACTGCAAATGGTGCCCGACTAAACTTAGTGCAAATATATGGGAGTCCAGAGAGGTCACATAAAGCTTATTCTCAACCATAACCCAATCTTAAAACACGTTAAAATTGTGCAGCAGCAGGATTCCAGTCAAACCAGTGAGTTTGGCGGTTTTGAGACATCATCTTTCAGTGAAAAAAAAACTTTTTCATTTTGCCGACGCGCATGGCTACGGCGACGCGCGCGCATACCAGAAACCGGAGACTTTTTTTTTTGGCCTTATATAGTGCTTTATACCAAAGGTCTCAAAGCTATTACCCCTGTGCATCAGGCTATGAGACCATTTTCTGCAGCAGCTCGAGATCAGCGCATTCTGGTCTCTACCTTCGCAGGTACCCATTTGTACTCCTGGGTGGAAGGAGGCAATTGTAGTAAAGTGTCTTGCCCAAGAACACAAGTACCATGTTCTCCGTCAGGGTTTGAAGCCATTTACCACAGCACATGAGTTGAACACTATAACCATTTGACCACAGCGCTCCATGTGCACTTAGTTATATCGGAACAGCTACAAATTCAACATCTGGTGAAAGCCTAGTATTTATGACTAATCCTAAAACCAAGACATACGTCACATAACTGTTTGTCAATTAATCATCTTACAATCATATCATACATGACTGAATGAATTTGACGCAGAAGAGGGTGAAAATCAACAAATTTATATGCATTTCACACTGACGCGTAGCAAGCGATATATTCTTGCTGTGCAAACCCGTAGTGGATAGTGAGTTGCACATGACGCCACAAGAACACATAAAGTGACGACCTTTCCAGCGTGCTAACCGTTCGCTTGCGAAATGTCACTAAAGTGTCTTAACCCTTTCATGACCACATTGTTTATTGACTTGGCTCTCCCCAGGACCAAATTGTTTGCTCAGTCATGCGGAAATCACTAGAGCGTGAAAGAAATGACCACAAGTCCAAAACTCACTTTTTTCAACCCAGATTTTCACTGCCTAGGAGTGATCAAAATCGTAGGTGTTGTGTGTAAAGTTTGTTCCTTGAACCTTACTCTTTTATGAGATGTAAAAATGAAATCCATACGTGCAAATATAAGAAAGTTATGCCTTTTTGTTCATCTGGTCTCATTTATCAAACTGCAAGCCATTTCACCACATGACCAAATGGCACTCCATGCCTCAATTTGTGCGTGGATACTTCTGAAGCACTTTTCTCATTTTTTTGTAATGGTAACACTATGAATAAACAACACCATTAGAACGATCCGAAAACACTCTTCCAGCTGGTATATAGTTGATGTATGGGCGGCCAAACATATCAACATGCCGCCTTTCTGAAAAGTAGTAAATATATCTGTGTTGAGGGTGTTCTGTGTGTGGTTTCCTGGTCGACTAAAGTCACCCATGGGAACCAGCAGGGGGGTTCTTCTTGTCGACAAAAGTCGCCCATGGTAAGGAAAGGGTTAACCAGTTTACGCCGGGAATATTTTGAAAAGAACGGAACGAGGCCGGGAATATTTGAAAAAGAACGGAACGAGGCTCGGGATAACTTTTTACTCGACCTCAATGCCAGGCAGGTTGAAGCCATCACCCTCAGGCAGCACACTTATATTTCCGGCCTCGCTCGCTGCGAGTGAGTCGCTGACAGATATTTCTGGCCTCGCTCCCTGCTTGTTTATCCATCATCCGTTCTGAATATCGCAAAACCTTTTGCATGTATACACGTCATCTGGGGCGAACTGGCTAAGGAACAATGGCAAAGGAAATATTGCGGGGCCTTGACTCATTTTTTTCTTTCTGACCCTTTCTCTCAGGTTGCCAAGAAGAAGATGATGTTGACCCATTTGGTGGTGCGTCCAGGCCTGGGCTCGGCCGCCAAGGGTGCCATGTCCAAGAAGGAACTCGACGACATCCTCAAGTTTGGCACTGATGAGCTGTTCAAGGATGAAATCACCCAAGGTATTGAACAAATTCAGTTACAACCTATGAAACAAGTTTGTCATTGGGAGGCACAAGAACTGCTTTTGAATTTCAAGGCCAATTTTAATACACATGCGCTATTTTGTTGCAACGACGTTGTCACGCGGCAATATCGCTCCATGCTGCCATTTCGGTGCAAAAGCAGCTAAAATCCATCACAAAAATAACCATCTCTGCCCTCAGAGGTACCCAATTTACTCCTGGGTGGAGAGAAGCATGGAGTTACGAAGTGCCTTGCCCAAGGGCACACGCACCACAACCCCAGGCTGGACTCGAACCCACAACCTGCCGAATTACCCGCTCCAAATTCAATGCTCCAGGCCACGAGGCCATGGCACTCCTATTGTAAATAGGTCTCTCTCAAATGACGTCACTTCCTACAGATTGTCATGTGCGTCGGCATTTTGGGCTTCAAATTTTTGTGACGCGCATCGGCTGTGCCGTATTTCGAAGAAATATCAAGCAACACACGTTCGTGTTAAAGGGAATGTACATCATTGGCTTTTGCTGTAATTTTCAGAAATGAACTATTTGAGGGGTAAGTATAATGGGCCTAGATCAAATATTGTTTAACTGACATGTTTTGAAGTTTTGTTTTTCGAAAATCCTTGAAAAACCAAGAAAAACAAAAAATGTTTAAGTAGTCTGGTTCCCTGACTCCACTAAAGATAAAATGGATTAATTTATAGTTGTCGGAAAATTGTATGGTAAGGGAACCAGTCTAGCTGGCCTGCACCCGTTAATGAACATGTAACCAATAGCAAACAAAATTTGGACTGAAAATTGTAAATTTGGGGCAGTAGTTGAAAAATAGTTAGGTTTTTCCAACGGTGGTCGGCCAACCACCGTTGGAAATGTATACAACAATACAAGTTTCTTGAAAATGACTTGACACCAGGTGCCATAATTTTACAGGATGCCTTAGACTGTCATTTACCAACATCCTAGTAACGTATTGCGTAAAAACTTGGTAGTTTTATTTTTCGATGTTTGCAAATGTTGTATATTCCCTTTAAGAACATTTTGCACATTGTGCGCACACGCACCTGATGGCGTTGAATACGCAGTTGTAATTTTCTTAAGAAGATGGTGTCCTATGAGAGAGATCTATAGCTCCTAAGATGCCAAAACAGCATAGGAATTGGTCATGGAAAGCCCTTACCTTGTTCGGAAAAAGTCATGAGATTTCATTTAAAAATGCGATTTGAATTTCCTCACACAGACGAGGGCAACGAGGGGACCATCACCTGGGATGACCGGTCAGTCTCGGACCTCCTGGACCGGACCAAGGAAGGCATCGAGCAGAAGGACATGGCCGACGATTACCTCAACTCCTTCAAGGTGGCTAGCTACGTCATCAAGGAAGAGGAGGAGGAAGAAGAAGAAGTAAGAAAACAGCCAGAAAATGCAGAGAGTTCTTTAACCCTAACCGCCCTGAATCCTTCAAAATCCTCTTTGCAAAAGTGGAGGAATTTGGAGGATTGAGGTTACATGGCCAAAGTTCATTACTGATTTCGTAGGATGCACTTTGTCAAGGTCTTGGGCCGGATCTTGTGTTGTTTTTGCTCAACCATGCATAAATGTAGGCCTGGATTATGCTTGAAATCCTCCGTACTGCTCCAGAATGTCACTGGCCAAGCCTTAACATATTGGCAGTCACTGCCGCAGGATTTTGCAGGATTCAGGCAGTGGTCACCCCTCCATGGACCATATTCAAGAAATAATGGAGGAATTTGTAGGATTGAGGCTATATATGCTATTTTTCCATGAGGCCAATTGGAGTATTTTGCAGGATTGAGGCTACATCCTAGCAAAAGGGCCTAGGGAGTTAGAGTTAAAAATGCATTCCCCGAGCTTTTTTCGACTTTACTTCCGAAAAATAGATTCCTTTTTTTTTCAAATTGGTATTTTTTCCAGCAACGCAAAAGTTATTCACTTTTGAAAGAGACAGCTACAAAAAAAAAAAAAAAATGGCCCATGTTAACTTATTGATTTTTTACTTTACAATTTTGATTTATTGGCTGCTAGGCAACAACTCCCATTATCACAGGGTAGGCTGGTTCCCGCCCCACAATCAGTATTGATAATGTACGGACCGGGAGCAAGTCTGCTCACAAGCGGATCTGTTTGTGCCCAAAACAAAAACTTGGTTTTTTTTTTCGTAAGCTGCAAATTTGTATTGATCATAATTGTTATCGTCTCACCCAGTGACATGAACCGAATGCTGTATCTTTCAAAGCATTCGGCAATTGGTGCGGACGTAGAGAAAACTTCCCACTGGCCTTATTTAGGTTGGGACTCCAGCAGACTTTGGCATCTCAATAAAGGCCTGGCCAGACAACGCCTTTTATTTTCATTGGCAGAGATAAACTACAGTTGCTTATGTTTGTTTTCAAGGTTTTAAATTCGCCTTTTTTTCCATCTTTGACATCTAGTTATTGCTTATTTTAATTCTGCCAAAGCATCTGGAGACATTTCGCGATGAGCTTTATAAGATAAACATATGTACAGAATTCCATTTAGAAACAGTTTTGGCTGAATAAATGCTAGGTTAGAGTGACATTAACGTTAATCTAAAAAAAGGGGAGTATAAAAGTCTCGTGCACTCACAAGTCCTCAAGTTAAAAATTAGGCACAGTTGGATTTTGTTGGATTGAGCAGGAAGTAACTGTTACTCTCTGTTGGATTTGGCAGCGTAGTTTTGAGGAACCCTAGGGGGTCAGGGACCGTGACCATTCAACCCTGGTATGAAAAGGGCCCCCCGGTACCTCGTCCGGTCCAGAGCCGGTCCGGTCTTCAGCCCAGTCTCCTCCAGTACATGGTCCTGTCTGACCAGAAGTTTTGAAGTCAGTCAGGCACATCAATTTATTGCCCTTCAGAGAACATCCAGAGCATAACAATAGCAGAATTACCGGATTAAAGATAAATCCTTCCAAATGCCTTGGTAATTTACGGTCCCATTGTGCACGAAACCGCATGGCAGGGGGTTTGATCTGCGCCGATGAAAGTGTTCTATTGTTTCGTACTGAGAGATGAAAACCACAAGCAGGTTTCTTCTGGGATATTTTACATGTGTCAATACTTTCAAACAATAGACCCCAGGATAGAGGAGTTCCTGATTAGCAACCGGACCAGCTCCTGGGCCGGTAGCTTGGACGGTACGAAAGGACTTCTTGGGAGGGGACGAGCTTACCGGGGGGCCCTTTTCATACCGGGGCTGAATGGTCATGGTCCCTTACTTATCAAAGTAGGCTTTTTGATATTCATTTGGTAGGTTACATTTGGGATAAATGCAAATCATCCTATATGCCTTTAATTTTCCTTTCTCCGGTCTTCAGGAGGTGGAGACAGAAGTCATCAAGCAGGAGCTGGAGCCGTCAGACCCAGCCTACTGGGAGAAGCTACTGAGACACCACTACGAGCAGCAGCAAGAGGACCTGGCCCGCACCCTAGGCAAAGGCAAACGCATCCGCAAGCAGGTCAACTACAACGACGCTGGGCAGGATGACTCAGGTGGGATGAGAGGGAAGGGTATGTACAAACTAACCAATCTGCACCCCCCAGCCCCTGGCCCTCTACTCTGCCCCCTCCCCGCTGCCTCCCTGCTTACACACCTACAATCCTTCAAATTGGACCTGCCAGTTTTTCAATTGACGGAGGCTGGAGGTTTCAGCGGATGTGACACACGGCGCGGCTGCCCACTGTCTGTGTATGGATTCCACACCGGAACAGTGGATGGCCATTTGCGACCACTGCACAGACTATGCGTATGCGTTGAGTCCGCATGACTTACTTTCATGTAAATGTGCACCAACATGGGGCATCTTCATATGGATTCCTTGCGTCAACAAGAGAGGGCGCTGTTTGACCACTTTCGAGAGCCCCCGTTGACGGGTCACACTGCATGTGCATACTGGTCCGTGCGCGCATTCTGGTTCACGCACATGTAGCGTGGAGTATGCAGGACTCTTTTTATTCTGAATGTGCACAAAGCCATCTAAAGGTCTTTTGCGAGGGCACCAGACACCATCAACTTAGGCCAAGTTCGGGCAAGGACCATTAGTCGACTAGTGGTTGATTTGTGATGCCTGCGCACTGATAGCATCGTGCGAATGTCTCTAGTCAAACGCTGGTCAAAATGTCATCGCAAAACTTCTGGATCCTGGCTCTCTGCTAGGGTTATGAATGCGCGCGGCTATTTGTTACCAGCGAAGCAACCAACCTTAGTAGGCTGGTTCCAAATAGTTAACTAGCGTAGTCGGCCATCGTCGACTAGACAGAGTTCGGGCAAACGTTAGTTAACCATTGGTCAACTATAGCCCTTGCGCGAACTTGGCCAATGCGTTTGAATGTCTCCTGGTGGAAATGGTGCTCAGGTGTTTTTCATATGTCTCTCTTTCTCACCGTTGAGTGAGTGCTTTCCAGGGGTAATTTCATGGGAGCTGCGTAGCCTTGAAACTTGCTTCAGCGCAAACAAGTTTTTTTTCTGAGCCGAAACACTTGTCACAATTTCTCTGCTGATAACTTGAGGCCCTACCCTGTTTAGCATCCCCTGTACATACCTGACTGGGGCATTTATCACAGGATGGTGCAGATAAGATGTTGGGAAAGAATTAATATCTACTTTTCTCAAACTTTGTTTTGCTTCGCTACATGTACCCAACGTCGAACAATAGAGCTATTCTTGGTGCTGCACCTAGAGTATCCTGTTGTTGTATGGCTTTATATCCTGGTATTAGTCAATTTTCCATATTTCCTAACTGTGCTATCGGAATCCAACATTACAGTGACATGTAGGTAGTGGCACATTTTATAGACTTACATACAGTTTGGTCATGAAACCCTTTTTGCAAGTTTAACAGATGCTTAACCATTCTTTATCCATGGAAATCGAGCACTATCTGTTGTTCGATATTTACGGGTGTTTATTAAAGGTCCTATCTCAGTACATGACAACATGGCTTGACTGGGGTACTTATTGTTCAATAAAAGACACTTTTGAGGCTGACTAACAATTCTGCCTTGCTGCTTGCAAAACACCACTCTTGCTGAAAAAAATTCTGAATTCTAGCTTTCATTTTAACAGAGCTGGCAAGACACCTGAGTCATTCTATAGATGTAGGGTCCTGTCCCTGTTACATTGTGCCTTGGTACTTTGTAATTTCCGGTTCAAGTATCATTAAGAATGGCTTCAAATGATTTTGTTATTTGTTGGGTAGATTACCGGGTAGTTTGCTATTCACAATCACTCTTGGAGGACGACTGCATTAAGGAGTGCGTCAGAATTAGAAAATCGCAGATGGCAGATGAAACAGGGACAGAAAAACAAGTGGACCCCAAATTTATAGAATTGACCAAAAAAAAAAAAAAAAAAAACGTGACGGGGTTGGGATCCAGACCATTGACTCCCTTTTCTTCAATTTCGTCTTGATGATTGCAAATCAGGAAGCGGATAGCGAGGATTGCAATAAGCCAGTTGTGCGATTCATTTGCACATGTGTACTTGAAGTGTGTACAAAAATTGAAGATTTCCAATCCAATTTTGAACAGACACGGCAAATAAATGTGCAGAAGTCCATGGTACTGAGCCTCTTGTTTTTTTTTCTCCATGTAATGAAAGAGAAAACGGAAGTGAAGTTTGTTGAAAAGTTGGAGCATGAAAAATACTGTATCACTTGGTGCTGTCCAAAGTTTTCAGAATGTACTTCAGAACACAAATTTTTCTTCGATATCGCTGGCACCGTGCATAAATTAACCTTCACATGGCAGATTGTTTTATATTTCAAAGGGAAAATGTTAAATCTCGACGTACACATACATTGTATGCTGCTGGAGTATCTACTGGCTTATGAATGCCAAGTTTGGTCGCACCGATGCTAGTGTTCGGCTGATCTATGCATGTATTCTCTCCTTCTTGCAGGCTGGGACAACAAGATAAACGACAACTACAGCGACTACTCACACTCGGACAACGAAGAAGATGATGAGGACTTTGACGAGAAAGCCGAACGTAAGTCTCAAGGAAAATAAATAAAAACTCACCGTGTCTAGAACATCACTTGTCAGATGGGCCGATTTGCCAGCTTGTTGGCCTATTCATCAGCTTTCCAACAAGCTATAGTTTGTCCAGAACCATCCATGTTAAGGTACCTTTAGACTGTGATACATGAGAGCCATGCCGGTTGGCGCTGACAGGCCTTGCTATGGCATTTACTGCACAAAAACGAAACTAGTGGCATCATGTACTTCAAGTCTAGAACCTTGCTGATTTGCCAGCTTGTTGGCCTATTCAGTTAAAATCAAACACAACTGCATTTGATAAAAATATTTTAAAGCAACAAGCGCTAGCTTCTTTCTTCAGAGATGAAAGTCCTCCTTGCAGTTGCCTGATTAAAGGTGTTTTTTTTTTTCAAACTGCAAATAACATATTGGTATCGGACATGTGTGTGTAATCTTTTCCTTTGAGCCTCACATTTCAGGAGAAAAATGTCAGATTCCATTTACATCCCCGATATCTTTGATGGGCAAAATACACTGAAATTCAGCATTTTAGGCAAGTTCTTGTGGGTTTTATTTTGGCCAGTGTCAAAAAAGTAAAGGGAAGAAATGTGTTTGGTCACTCAATTTTTGGGGTGCCAAAATGTTATAATAGAATCATATGTTTAACACTATCTTTTATTCACAACTCGAGTAAAAACCGGCAAAACAAGTGAAATGCAATCAATTATTTTTTTATATGAAACAAAAAAAAAAAAAATCAAAACTGATGTTGGTGTTTTTTCCCCCTCTATCTTGCAGTCCGCCCAAGACGACGAGACAGGGACAAGCTTCCCCCGCTCCTGGCTAGAGTGGCTGGCTCCATTGAGGTATGCGCAATGTGGCGCAGAACACAGCTGTGCCAGTGTAGTGTGAATTTAGGACTATAAAATACTGACTCATTGGTAGTTTTGCGCATGCCTAAAGTGAGGATAGTGAATGTTGAACCTATAAACCGGTAAACTGGACCAGATTTCATGGGAGTCCAAATTTCATGTGACACTGAAAAGTGTTTAGACCAGCCAGTAGGTGTTTTATAAAACGATTTTTATGAAAATTAATTTGAGGGCCATGCAGGTTATCAGTATTTCATCCTAAATTCACAATGCACTCATCACAGCTGCGCATCATAGTGCAGTACGCGCGACGCGCACGCCAATCTCCATAAAAGGAGTCGTTTACATCTTACTCTCAAGCTTGACACTCCATTATATAGCCGGAGGGATGTTTCGAAAAACAGAAACTAAAATGGTTGAACAAAATCGTTGGAATTTTTAAAATTGTGACTTGTTCTTGATTTTTTGACCAAAAAGGTATTAATGAATGGGAACAAATATTTGCTTGGTCGGTATTAAAGACTATGTTTATGACTGGTTTGAGTCTGAAATGCTGATAATTGCCCTCAGCTTCGCCTTGGGTACTTATCAGCATTCCAGACTCCAACCAGTTTTAAACATAGTGTTTAACACCTCCCAAGCACACATAAATTTCCTTATTCAAAGTTGATATGTTACCAAATAGCAAAGCAGAATGTTATTGAAAAGTTTGTAACTTTTATGTTTCTATTGGCATTGGAATATCAGTTTTAGTTAAAGGGAGTATACATCATTTGCTTTTGCTGTAAATTTCAGAAATGGATGGAATTGGGGGATTGGAAATATATAGCAAATATAGTTACACTTACTTTTTTGAGGTTTTGGGTTCGAAAATGCTATAAAAACCAAGGAAAACAATCATTTTCCTGTAGTCTGGTTCCCTGACTCCATATAAGAAGAAACAGAGCAGTTTACATACATTGGGGAATTGTAAGATCAGGGAACCAGTAGCTGGCTTGTACCCGTTCATAGGTGTGTAATCAATTACAAACAAGTGCGATGGTCAATTGGGGCCAGAAGTTGAAAAAAAGCCAGTTTTTTCCAACGCTGGTCGGCCGACCAGCGTTGGAAATTGATACAAAAATACCACTTTTCTTGAAAATGACAGTATACCAGGTGCCATGATTTTACAGGATGCTTTACACTGTCATTCACTAACAGTCCAGCAAGGTATTTCAAAATGATTTGGTAGTTTTATTTTTTGATGTTTGCAAATGTTGTATTTTCCCTTTAAGTGTATAATTTTGTCTTTCATTTTTTTTCCTTTTACCTCAGGTGCTTGGGTTCAACACCCGTCAGCGCAAGGCTTTCCTGAATGCCATCATGCGTTGGGGCATGCCGCCTCAAGACCCATACAACTCACAGTGGCTGGTGAGGGATCTGCGAGGCAAACCAGAGAAGCATTTCAAGTAGGTTCCTCAGTCACCTGACTCTTTGAATGACTAGACTAAGCAAAACTTATAAAGCTGGTTCCCGACGGGTCTACCCGTATGTTCATAGCCAACTGCCGATGTAGTCACTTGGGGATTACTTGTTGCAGATGCACAGTGTGAGACATCCACTAGTCTTCGCATGTTGGCGACATTTTACCAACATAGTCTGGCGCTATGATGGCATAAAATGTCCAAAATTTCCAAAATGTGAGTTTTCCCAAAGTTATACCCCGAAAATATATACTCAAAATAAGTTTCCAATAAAACTCGCCATATAATCAACTGGGCTACATTGCTTTAAAAGGAATATTCGTTGCTTTCTTTTTGCCATGCAAATTGACCGTGAATCATACTGATTAAAGAGCAAATCAATAATTGTGAATAAATAAAAAATGTAGCTCCCCATTTATCACCTGGACGGGAACATTGACATTGCTGGCTTCTCTTCCATAGGTCTTCCTTATTCCTAAAAACTCAAGATTTTTGAGGAAAACAAAATAAGCATATTGAAACGAAATTAGAGTAAGAAAAGACTGATTATGTCATGCCGTATTTAAGCCTTATTAAGGGACAAAGGCTGATGGTCGAGTGGGATACCTGGGCACAATAGACAAACTAAGTGGAAGGCACAAACATACGTGTCTAAGTCCGAGGGCGCAAACCTTCGTTCAATTTATTCAGAATGACTAGTCACTAGAAGTCTTTGCGTACATGTGGACGTAACAGTGGGCCAGATTTTGCCCATTCAATCATGATACGGGCAGTCCTATACGATAACACTGCCCAGCTCTCTTCGCCAGGGCCCAATTTCATAGCGCTGCTAAACAGCCGATTTTGTGCTTACCGAGCCTCCATCTACTTCATAGAGACCGTAAGCAGTAAGGGACCGTGACCATTCAGCCCTGGTATGAAAAGGGCCCCCCGGTACCTCGTCCGGTCCAGAGCCAGTCCAGTCTTCAGCCCAGCCTCGTCCGGTACATGGTCCTGTCTGACCAGAAGTTTTGAAGTCAGTCAGGCGCATCAATGTATTGCCCTTCAGAGAACGTCCAGAGCAGAACAATAGCAGATTTACCGGATTAAAGATAAAATCCTTCCAAACGCCTTTTTAATTTACGGTCCCATTGTGCGCGAAACCGCATGGCAGGGGTTTTGATCTGTGCCGACGAAAGTGTTCCATTGTTTCGCGCTGAGAGATGAAAACCACAAGCAGGTTTGTTCTGGGATATATTACAGGTGTCAATACTTGCAAACAATAGACCCGAGGATGGAGGAGTTCCTGATTAGCAACCGGATCAGCTCCTAGGCCGGTAGCTGGGACGGTACGAGAGGACTTCTTGGGAGGGGACGAGCTTACCGGGGGGCCCACAACATTTGCAAACATAAAATTATCACAAAATACCTTACTGGATTGTTGGGAAAAGGCAGTCTAAAACACCCTGTAAAATCGTGGCTCCTGGTGTGCTGACATTTTCAAGAAAACTTATATTTTTCCAACGCTGGTCTGCTGACCAGCGTTGGAGAAATGTGGCTTTTTTCAAAAACTGCTTCTAATTTTTCATATTTACTTATTCCGCACTTACTTTGCAATTGATTACACACCTGTGAAGGGGTACAAGCCTGCTAGACTGATTCTCTGACCTTACAATTCCCAAAAGTCTATACATTGCTCAGTTTCATCTAAGGTGGGGTCGGGGAACCAGACTACAAGAACATCATTGGTTTCCTAGGTTTTTCCAGCATCCACAAGCCCAAAACGTGAAACAAGTCAGTTTAACAATATTTGCTATAGCCTACTAATCCTCCACATCTATTTATTTCTGAAAATTGCAGCAAAAGCAAATGTTGTACATTCCCTTTAAAGCTATAGTCCATCATTTGCAGCCATTCGAAAAAGTAACTGGCGTATTATTGTTGAAAAACATACTTGGTTGAAAGATAGTAAGGGGACTAAACTCCCTGTGAAATTATTCTTTCTGGCAAGCAGTCATTTTGAAGTAATCAACGAAAGAAGACCTTTCCAACGGTGCGTCTTAAGACTTACCGTAGGAAAATTTAAATTAGTAGTTTGTTTTGTTATTCGGCGCAGCGCGCGCAAGCATTGGCACGACGCACACACGGTTGCTATAATTCGTCAGATCAGTGCGCGACATCGCGTATACATGTAGCTGCAATTCAAAACAATTCAAAACATGATTCAGCAACTTTTGATCTGAAATTGAGGTCCTAGAATGCAGTTTTTCTTGGAATATACACTGTACATGTACAGCTGAAGCTGAGCTGAAACTTCATCAGGTTAGTTGTTCAGTATCCTTCATTAGATTTTGAACACTTTTGTTGCTTCAAACATGTCAAACGAACAAAATGCACAAATTACAAATGATGGACTATACCTTTAATTCTAGATGCTTTTGAAAAACTACTTTGAGGAGTTACGTAGCTATTCTGCAGTGTCTTCATATACAATCATTTGTATGCAACATTGGTTTCTCTCTCTTCCCCCTCCACAGAGCCTACGTTGCTCTGTTCATGCGTCACCTGTGCGAGCCTGGTTCAGACGGGGCGGACACATTCGCCGACGGAGTGCCGCGGGAAGGACTGTCCAGACAACACGTACTGACCCGCATCGGTGTCATGAGCCTCATACGCAAAAAGGTGAGTTGACCAAAAAATAACAAATATGTGATGCCATCAAGCTAAATGAGTCCTTTGTCGACCCTGGTCAATTTTTTTTTTTACAGATTTGAAAAGAGCACAATCTCAGCATTACTGATGTGAAAACGGCATGCGGGTACTATCTTCAGTTAAAAAAATTATGGAAGTCGGAACACCAAGAAATGTGATGAAGTGATGTGATGAAGTGGTCCTTTTTTGGCCTGAATCTCCAAATGGAAATTCCCGACAAACGACTCATGTAGCCTGATCGCATCACATATGTGTATCTATAGTACAGGGTGTTAAAAAAAAGAAACCCAACTTCAAAGAATGAGTATGGACAGACGATATGTTTACACGCTGTAAAACTGGTATCATCTGAAAGCGTCATCTCTATGCTTTTCAATGATACCGTGTTTAGGTTTTCTGAGTCATGAATCACTGAGCATCATTGTCTTGAAAACTGGATGCAAAAATGCAGTTGGTTCACTTTCATAAAAAAAAAAACACTGGGCACGGGTGTGCCTATTGTTACGAAAATGTCTGTGAAAATGGCTTGAATTTTAATCCTCGAGAAAATGGCACATTGTTTTGAATGTGGCTTGGTCAAAACGAGAAATTCATGGCAAACACTAAAATCCAGTTTTGAAACCAACCTGACTTAGTTTTTTGGTTTCTTTTTATGCACTCGTGTCTTCTTCTTGAATACTTATTATCACGCACACCATGCCTATTGTGTTTGACATGAAAGTGAACCAACTGCAATTTTGCATCAAAATCTCATGACAATGGCACTCAGTGATGCATGACCCTGGAAATGTAAACAAGGTATCACTGAAAAGCATAGAGATTACGCTTTCAGATGATACCAGTTTCATAACCAGTAAACATTTAGTCTGTCCATACTGGTTCTTCAAAGTTGGGTTTCCTTTTTATTGAAACACCCTGTATATCTGTCCAATGTGAACATAGAGGGCCTTTGGAAAATTGGACCCTTTATTAGGCTTAATGTAAATCACTATGATTTGATGTTATCTTGTCGTAGGTGCTAGAGTTTGAGCCTATCAACGGCAGCATCAGCGTCCCCGAGCTGGTCCCCAACCCGGGCTCCGTCCTAGACAACTTCAAGTCAGACTCCCGCAAGTCCTCCCGGACCGCCTCCCCAGCTCCGACCCCGGCAAGCACCGATTCCCCGGTACCCACCCCGCTGGCGACCGCTGCTGCCTCCCCGGCGACCACCGTGGATTCCTCCAAGCCCGAGGACATGGAGGCAGGTACCTCCGAGCAGAAGGAGAAAGACTCGGCTGCCGAGGCCAAGACGACATCTGAGGCAGACAAGGAGACATCCGAGCCAGACAAGGAGACATCCGAAGCAGCCAAGGAGACATCCGAAGCAGCCAAGGAGACATCCGAAGCCTCCAAGGAGGAGCAGGAACCAGAGGTTAGGGAAAAAAACAAGCATTGGTAAAATCAAGAACAGAATTAACCCTATGCGCGCGGGAAGCGGTCATGGCGGCGGCCGCTAATCCTCATTGGAATGCAGTTGCCAGCTGTGGTATGCCGTGGCACACGGCTAGTGGGTAGTTCCACACCTGCTGCTTTTTTGCAGTCCCGCTACCACACAAAGGCTGTGCAGTCATGCGGGCCACTTGCTCTATGTGTGGAGGAATGTCCCCATTATAACCCGTACTTAAGGGGTTAAGAAGTCGAGTGGTAAGACATCTGCACTAGAAAGCAGGAGGTCGTGGGTTCGAGTCCCACCCGAGTGATTTTTTCCAACTTTCACTCGGGAGGTAACACACTGAGTATACAGTGTTTAAACGTCGGTGACGGGCAAAACCTATAATTTGAAAATTAAGAACCGAAAGATCTGGTGCATCTGATTACTATACCTCATACATATTCATGAACGAGAGCTGGATTCTTATTGGTCAATCATGTGTCAGTCACTAGTTTTTGCCAAATACGCATGCGCAGTCCACTGTCGCATGGGTTACCCGTGCAGTAGGCTACTACGCATTTTACTAAGCAATAGTTGAACTATCCCACGGGGGTAGTGCACACACACATGAACATTGCCCTAGCTGTTTGAACGGCTGTGAACATCCACACCAACGTTTTGCCAAAGTGCTGTAGCTGCTGTGTAAACTCGACAAGAATTTAGTGAATATATATATGAGATGTAGTAAGGCCAAAAAAAAAAAATATTCGGTCTCTGGTCAGACCAAAGTTCCAGAATTGATGCGGGGACGCGGCTTTTTATTTTTTTATTTTATTTTTTTCTTCAAGCTTGGATTGTACAGACAAGGTGGGGTACTATTTTGCTTTTTTGGTGTCCTCATGTACATTGGTGTCCTCCATAATTTGCCTTGGTGCTTTCGATCATTTGCCTTGGTGCAATTTCCCATTCCTTGGTGCTCTTTGATAAAAAAAACTGAGGAGGTGCGGCAATAGAGGGCGCTGTTGGAGCTACAGCGGAACATTTTGGAAAAACAAAAGATTGACGCGCATGATTAAAATCGACGCGCGCACTGACCAGAGACCAACTTATTTTTTTTTTTGGCCTAAAACAAATTTAACATGGTATATTTCAGGTGGATAGTCGATGCCAGCTCCCCTTGGTATTGGAATTTAACAAAGTTTGCTCGGCAACTGGGACGTCAACTGTGTCAATGATGTTGTACATATCTGTTTGCCTAATTCTAGACTAAGAAGGAAGAACAAGATGCTGAGGAGCCGATGGAGGTGGACAAGAAGGAAGAGGACAGGACCAAGACAGAAGAAGGAGAGATGACCGAGCCAGACAAAACACCAAAGGATGAAGTTGTGAAAGAAAGTAAGAACTTTTACCAAAAATTTTACCTGAAGCTCAAATAAGAATTGCAAGTCAACAAGTAAAATCGGTGATCAGTAAAGTTCCTCACAATGCAGTCGGAAGACAATCACAAGTCATCTAGTTTGAGAACAATTTGCAAGCTGTTCAAATGAAATGTGACAGAGGCAATATTTTGTCATTGTTAACACCTGTTACTGATGACCTGACTTATGATTAAATTTTGATTTTGTTTGAAGTTATCATATTTTTTGGGCTGGGAGATTCCATCCTCTTCCTGATGTAGCATTGCAATGTTTGGCTGGAATATTTCAATAATGCTCCGTTGTATAATTTTGTTCTTTTGCTCATTCATACTTTGTCTTTGTCAGAGCCAGATGTTACAGAGAAGAGCCCAGCAGAAGAGGAAAAGATGGAAACGGACGAACCGGAAGCATCCAAGGAAAAGCCGTCAGAGGAGGCCAAGACGTCCGACGACGCAGAGGCGAAGGAGGAACCGGCTGACGTGACCCCCAAGACGGAAGAGGAAAAGACAGAGGAGCCAGAAGGGAATGAGAAAGAGGCCACCGTCAAAGAAGAAACGGTCAAAGAAGAAACGGACAAAGAAGAAACGGACAAAGAAGAAGAGGTAAAAGAAGAAAAGGACAAGGAAGAAAAGGACAAAGCTGACGACAAACAAGGGGAGGCGGAGACGAAGAAAGAAACTACAGAGGTGAAAGAGGAAGCCAAAGACGCAAAGGAAGAGAACGCGGACAAGAAAGACGCCAAGAGCCCGGACGCGCCGAAAGACAGTCCCGCCGAGAAGGACTCGGACTCGGACGTCGTGGAGGTCAAGGACGAGACGGAGAAAAAACCCGCGACCGAGAAAGACGACGCCAAGAAAGAGGAGGCCGTCAAGAAACCGGAGAAGAAGGAAAAGCGGCTGTTTGTCTTCAACATCGCGGACGGAGGGTTCACCGAGCTGCACACGCTCTGGCTGAACGAGGAGCGGGCCGCCAAGAGTGTAGGGGAGAGAGCCAACGAGATCTGGCATCGCAAACATGACTTCTGGCTGCTCAGCGGCATCGTCAAGTATCCTTTTTCAACTGGAATTGTACCACGTCCACAACATTCCCTTGTTCAACTTGCAATCCTCTGTGAAGGAATCGATCAGAAATCAAATTAAAATTTAAAGGGAATATACATCATTTGCTTTTGCTGTAATTTTCAGAAATGGATGGAATTGGGGGGTTGGAAATATATAGCAAATATAGTTACACTGACTTTTTTGAGGTTTTGGGTTCGAAAATGCTATAAAAACCAAGAAAAACGATCATTTCCCTGTAGTCTGGTTCCCTGACTCCATTTAAGAAGAAACAGAGCAGTTTACATACATTGGGGAATTGTAAGGTCAGGGAACCAGTCTAGCTGGCTTGTACCGGTTCATAGGTTTGTTATCGATTGCAAACAAGTGCGATGGTCAATTGGGGCCAGTATTTGAAAAAAAAAGCCAGTTGTTTCCAACGCTGATCGGCCGATCAGCGTTGGAAATTGATACAAAAATACCACTTTTCTTGAAAATGACAGTATACCAGGTGCCATGATTTTTCAGGATGCTTTACACTGTCATTCACTAACAGTCCAGCAAGGTATTTCAAAATGATTTGCTAGTTTTATTTTTTTGATGTGTGCAAATGTTGTATTTTCCCTTTAACCGTTTCAATTATAATACCACTTTTTCTCTTTATAAAAAAAATATTTGTGAGAGAATCATGACAGAAAAAAAATGGCGCTGAAGTGCTCTCACCCAACCATGACTTTTCCATTTTCACCCCTAGAGGGAGTAGTTGTACATAGCCCATTGAGCAGTTGAACATGAATGATGTGTCAACCTTAACCCCGTTTTGTAAACCAGACACGGCTACGGTAGATGGCAGGACATACAGAACGACCTGTGCTATGCTATCATCAATGAACCCTTCAAAGTAGACCTGGGCAAAGGCAACTACCTGGAGATCAAGAACAAGTTCCTGGCTAGAAGATTCAAGGTATGAAGAGTTTGTGACAGAAACCCCTCACACCCAAGAAATTATGCATTCATAAATTACCTTAGACAGTTTACCCATTCCTATTGGTCAAGAGCCCGTCATGTGGGTGGTTTTAAAAGTAGAGTCCATCATTTGCAGCCATCCGAAAAGTAACTGGCGTAATCATTGTTGAAAAACAAACTTGGTTGAAAGATGGCAAGGGAACTAAACTCCCTGTGAAATTATTCTTTATGGGAAACTGTCATTTTGAAGTAATCAACGAAAGAAGGCATTTCCAACGGTGATTCTTAAGAAGCACCGTAGTTCGTTTTGTTATTGAGCGCAGCGCGCACAAGTATTGGAACGACGCACACTCGCGCGCGGTTGTTATAATTCGTCGGATCAGTGCGCGACGTCGCGTATAGCTGCAATTCAAAACATGATTAAGTAACTTTTGATTTGAAATTGAGATCTTAGAATGCTGTTTTTCTCGGAATGTCCAGCTGAAGCTTAGCTGAAACTTTATCAGGTTAGTTGCTTAGTATCCTTCATTGGATTTTGAACTCTTTTGTTGCTTCAAACGAACAAAATACACAAATTACAAATGATGGACTGTAGCTTTAAACCACGGTCAATAGATGCGTTCTGCACCACATCACTCGTGCGCCAATCTCCATATTGAAGAAATTGTTTTTAGTACAACGCATGCGAGGCTCATACCATAGACATGGCCAGAGGGTTGCTTCACAAAACAACAAGTCAACTTGTTAAACAATATTGTTGGAATTTTGTCAATTTTTGACTTAGGCCAAGTTCGGGCAAGGACCATTAGTCGACTAGTGGTTGATTTGTGACTTACCGGTACCTTACGCCTGCGCACTGATAGCAACGTGCGAACGTCTCTAGTCAAACGCTGGTCAAAATGTCATCGCAAAACTCCTGGATCCTGGCTCTCTGCCAGCGTTATGAATGCGCGCGGCTATTGGTTACCAGCGAAGCAACCAACCCCTGTAGGCTGGTTCAAAGTAGTCGACTAGCGTAGTCAATCACCGTCGACTAGACAGAGTTCGGGCAAACGTTAGTTAACCATTGGTCAACTATAGTCCTTGCGCGAACTTGGCCTTATTTTGTCTTTTTGACCGACAAGGCATTTATGAATGGGAACAAAAATGTGCTTGGTTGGTTTTAAACAATTATGTTTAAAACCGGCTAGGAGCCTGGATGCGGATAAAGGCCCGAGCTGTATTAAGAAATTTGATATGAGAATGCTCCGATTTAATATCATGATGCCAAAATCTGTTTTCGATTCTTGGCTGTGAGTACACTCCGACAACAGACAGCCTTGTTTCATGGACTAAAAATCCACATTTGTTGGCAGCACATCTTGTTTATTGCATGGAAAAACTTGCACCGAATATGTACCTCAAAAATGTGAAGTTGGAAACAGACAAGCAGTTGTACCAGTTTCACTGTATTGCTAACCTAGGATAAAACATCGCTCTCTCACCACAGCTCCTAGAGCAGGCCCTAGTCATCGAGGAGCAGCTACGCCGTGCGGCCTACCTCAACCTAACCCAGGACCCTAACCACCCGGCCATGGCCCTCAACGCACGCTTCGCGGAGGTGGAATGCCTGGCCGAGAGCCATCAACACCTGTCCAAGGAATCGCTGGCGGGCAACAAGCCTGCTAACGCTGTACTGCACAAAGGTGAGAATTTCACCTCATTGGGCTTGTCCAAAGTTGAAAGTCGAGTCCATCCTTAGGCCAGCCATCAGATAACAGACAGTTCGGGTACCGGGTCCGGTATGCTAATTTCTTTCACCCCAATCAGTACGAAGCCAGAAGCCACCCGGTCACTGAAGCGTGACGCCCCAATCGGTCCAAACTGGTGACTCAGGGTTTCACAATAGGCAACAAAAATTGTAGTCTGGCCATTGTTGGAGGATTATTCGACCTGCTGGGATTACCAGCAGCAACTTCTATGAAGCTCATCACAGTCATTGTTGCCTACTGAAGGATTAGCGCGTCACAAATTGGTTTCTTTGTGATGAGCCAGAACCATGGTGCAGAAGCCTGGTGAAGTTAATCCAGGCAAGGTCCCAATCCCTTCAACATACTGGGCGGGCTCAACCCCGAACGGTCCGGGGAGGGATTCTAATTTGAGGGCTCGCCTTACACATCCATCTCAAGGCATCCAGTCCAAAAATCAAGTTGCAGGCTATTCGAATGAACTGTGATAATGAGATGTGTCCTTTGTTATTGTTCATCCACTGATATTTTGTCACCGTTTTCACGAAGAGCCACATGTGTGGATTTTGAATACAAATCGTTTTCAAGATAATCGCAAAAGAAGTTTCTCCCGTTTTAAAACTGCAAAAAGTACTACTTTGCAACAACTTTGTGCAGTAAAGAAACCTTCACATGATTCTGTGAGAGCTGATTTTTTTACGTGAACCCAGGAATTAGAATTAACACAGTAGTTAATTAGTGAAAATTAATTAGTAAAAGATATGTGTCTCTTCTCGAAAATGAAAATTCAAGTTTCCTACATTTTGGCCCTTTCTGTTCAATGTGTTTTCCCATATGGATGGGGCGCATGTGTTTTCCCATATGGATGGGGCGCATGTGTTTACGCGTGCGCAGCTGAGAATGTAACAAAGATATGTGGCTCTTCGTGAAAACGAAAATCTCAGTTGACCTACTTTTACGCATTTCCGTGTAATAGGTTTTGTGCGCGTTCAAGGGGCCAAAATGTATGTGGCTCTTAAAATGCAAACTCAATTATCGAGATTTCTGCCCCTTGCATCATTTATTTAATTTGGAAATCAATGATGTTTTTCTTACAGAAACCTGTCAAAATGGCTAAGTACAATTTTTTTAAAGCAAAATAGTGAAAAAAAAAAAAATCGAAATCGAAAAAAATGGTAAATTTTGACATGTGGCTCTTCGTGAAAAAGGTGATGATTTGTGAGTGGACTTAAGAATTTACTTGTGCTTCTGACCAGATGTGATGGACTAGCGATGGACTTGACTTCTACACTGAATTGCTCTATTATAATGCAAGGCATTGTCAGCGCTTGTATTCAAAGAAAAATTGACAAAACCACGGGACTTGCAGATCTAAGTTTTTTTTTCGTCAAACTTTGGTTTTGAAACAAGACTTGTCAGTCAGCCCTGGCTTGGGTAAATACCCCTTGGTGAAATTGAGGTTAAGTGACTTGCTCAGGGACAGCTCTGGCTTGCTTGATGTTGAGAATTGTGCATTACAAGCATTGTGTCATTCGTTCTAATTGTAAACAATGACCCATTGGGAGGAATTATGTTCAGGCACTGTACCTTTTCTAACCGTTAATCAAATTTGATTAACAAAAATGTGTATTGCTTAGGGACCGTGACCATTCAGCCCTGGTATGAGAAGGGCCCCCCGGTACCTCGTCCGGTCCAGAGCCAGTCCGGTCTTCAGCCCAGTCTCGTCCGGTACATGGTCCTGTCTGACCAGAAGTTTTGAAGTCAGTCAGGCGCATCAATTTATTGCCCTTTGGAGAACGGCCAGTGCAGAACAATAGCAGACTTACCGGATTAAAGATAAAATCCTTCCAAACGTCTTGGTAATTTACGGTCCCATTGTGCGCGAAACCGCATGGCAGGGGTTTTGATCTGTGCCGACGAAATTGTTCTATTGTTTCGCGCTGAGAGATGAAAACCACAAGCAGGTTTCTTCTGGGATATATTACATGTGTCAATACTTGCAAACAATAGACCCCAGGATAGAGGAGTTCCTGATTAGCAACCGGACCAGCTCCTGGGCCGGTAGCTGGGATGGTACGAAAGGACTTCTTGGGAGGGGACGAGCTTACCGGGGGGCCCTTTTCATACCGGGGCTGAATGGTCACAGGCCCTTAGTCATTTTTTTTTGTAGTACAGTGGAACGCTGCTGAAAAGTACATCGTGGGATCGACAGAAAGTGTTCGTAATAACGATCGTTCGGTAAAGCGATTTTGAATCGCCGGCCCCCTTTTGAGCAATAGTGAACTGGCATTCCCACATCCCACGGCCACACGAGGAGAAATCACGAAACTTTAGCAATGGGTGGTTTTCCCTTTTATTCCTTGGGGAAATAATAGCCATTTATCGCTCTTCAACATTCAAACACGACGTAACTATGGGTCGTTTGATGTTAAGGAATTAAAAGTGGCCCAAATAGCATTTAATACAACCGGTAGATTTTTAGGTGAATCTGTTGACTCTTTTCAACAACAATGTTCGGTACGTTTTGTACATTAAAACCGGGAGCCAAGGATGATGTTCGGCATAGCCGGATGCTTGGTATAAACAACTCGGTATAGCGGTGTTCGGTATAGCGACGTTCCACTGTACTACAAGAGCCTTCTTAATAAGTGAAGGAACTAAACTCTCTAAAATAACATCTTTAATAATGTGATTGTGTGAGTCTGTTCTCCTCAAGCAAAATTTTGTTTCATTTTATCCTCGGACATTCTGTCCAAATTATTGAGATTTAACTCTACTCTGAAGACTTTCACAAAGTTTGCTCTTCGATCTTGTCGCTTTTTTTGAGCTGTATTTTTACGCGTTGTAATTAAGGTAGAAAGAAAATGAATAAATGTAAACCATCTTTGCTCTTCCTCAGTCCTCAACCAACTGGAGGAGCTCCTGAGCGACATGAAATCGGACGTTGCCCGTCTCCCAGCCACCTTATCCCGCATCCCGCCCGTCGTAGCCCGCCTGCAGATGTCAGAGCGCAGCATCCTGAGCCGACTGGCCAACCGCGACGGCCACTCTGCTGCACAGGCCCAGCCCCAACAGGTAAAAAAGATGTCCAAATAAAACCGGGAATTATTGAAATAAATTTTAAAAAAAGACTCACAATCACACATCAATGCACTTTAACGGGTATTTAACACAAGCAATTGGTGGTTTTGTTTCAGGAGGGGAGTTAGGAAAGAATGCATGACTTCAAATTACAGCACGCTGATAATATTGTCACAGAAAAATTGCCGTTATAGAATAAGTCACGCCGTGGGGATTTACTCATTGGCATTTTAGTGAAACAAATTTTGTGCCAACGTGCATATTATTGAGTTTTTCATCTAAAATGCATAAACTAGTTTCACTTGGCTATTGTACTTTTTTTTTTTTTAAATAGGAATTGACTGTTGGTGAAAGCATGCATTCTTTCCTTATCTCCTCAGTTGTCGTGTATTTTGCTGTACTTTTTGTGCGCATTGTCGGGGATGTATGCAATCTTCCATTCTCCAAACGGTCGCAAACAGGGTACTGATGTTACTTTTGAAACAGAGCCCTCTTTGGGGTCATTCCGTGTCAAATCAACCAACCTCACCCCCTTCAAATTGATTCATTCAATATTTAACGTAGGTGGTAATCGAGGCTGGAAAGGTTGAAATGTTAAGCTCAGCACAATCAGACCAACAGTTTTCATGCTACTGCGCGCCATATTTGGAGGCGATTTTGGCCAAAATGGGCGTGGCTGCCAATTTTCAAATGAATGTCTCCTATAACCTGTAAGCCAAATTTGTTGTTATTGGTGTCTTTGGAAAGGTAATATTGTAAGGAATACGAACCATTATTCATGATGTTGGAGTAATTTGAAATATAACCTTTGACCTTGAATTTGACCTTGTGGATCATGTGACCTTGGAAGGAACTTGTTTTCTACAAAATATCCAAAAATTGGAGGTATAATCTTTTTTGGGGGGGGGCTCCAAAACTTCAGCTGTTTCAGCCTTAAATACCCCATACAACAAATATGAAAAAAAATTGAAAGGGGTGGGGTTTGACCCATTAACCCTAACCCACCTCACTCCTCCAAAATCCTCCTGGCGGTTTTGGAGGATTCTAGAGGATTGAGGATGAATGGTGATTGAATCAAATGAGGATTCTGGAGGATTGAGGATGAATGGTGATTGAAGCACATGAGGATTTTGGAGGATTGAGGATGAATGGTGAATGAAGCACAAGAGGATTTTGGAGGATTGAGGATGAATGCATTTTGAGGCAGGACTGTCTGATGATTTTGAAGGATTTGGCGTTGGTTATCCTTCATTTAAACACGAGTGCAAAGTTTTGGGATGAGGAGGATTTTGGAGGATTGATGATGAATGCATTTTGAGGCAGGACTGTCTGACAATTTTGAAAAATTTAGGCGGAGTTGAAATTTTTTTGAGGATTTTGGAGGATTGAGGATGGTTGTAAGCAACAAGGGCCTAGGGGGTTAGGGTTAAGTGATTTGACACAAAATGACCCTATGGTCACAGCAGTGCCTGTGACAAAAATTCACTTGTCATTCCAGTTGATGCTGGAACTCACACTGAACAAAAGAAAAAAAATACAAAGACAATTTTTGAATGACTTGAAATGAAATGTATGTGTGGCCACAGCATGGAAGATTCTACACATTACCAAATGTTGCATCTCATTGCAAACGTTCAGTTAAGATGGTTTTAATAGTGAAAAACAGGTCAATTTGACATTGTACTGACTTCAATGAAGCACAATTTCAAATGTTTCTTGTTAAATTTTTTGGTTTTGGAAATATTTATATCAAGCAAAAGGCAGTACAACACCACACTGAACACTGTTCCAGTTGGGAAAAAAGTGCTCTCGTATACGAGCAGGGCACTGAAGTCTGAAGTTTGTCTAACTACAGACTCTACTTTCTTTGGCATGTAATAAACACACATGGCCACAAGACGCCCAAACTAAGCACCGCAAAAAAAGAAAGTCCATACTCATTGGAGGGGTCATACTTTTGAATCTGATCGTCTTATGATAACGTCATTTAATACATGGACCTTTTGGGAATGTTGTTAGCTACATTTTGATACCCTGTTTACTACCAAATTCTGTAATTCGACAACGGTTTATGAAAAATGATGCAGTTTGAAAAAGTTGCAAATTTAAAGATTACGCGATGAAAAATTGCTGAGCATGCTTGTAATTGGCCCCTATGGACTGCACAGTGCCCGAACTAAGCGTGGGCAATTCAATTTGCGTGCTCCCATGCATTGCAAGCACTGTGTGATTGGTATTCCCTGCCGTTTGTTTCAGGCGGTTTGACATTGTCACGCAGCAATTTCCACTCGGGTACTCTTTAAATTTGCAACTTTTCAAACTGCATCATTTTTCAAAAACCGTTGTCAATGTTGGACGATTTACAGTCTTTGGTAGCGAACGTGTTATCAAAATGTAGCTAACAACATTCCCCAAAGGTCTATGACATTATCATAATCTCGTCAGATTCAAAATTATGACCTTTCCAATGAGTGTGGACTTCTTCTTTTTTTTTCTTTTTTTTGCGGTGTTTACTTCATGTTGTGTTGCACGAGATCCTGTAGTAATAGGATGCATTGTACAAACTGCAGACCATACATGTACACAACCAAAAAAATATTAATAGTGGACTGGATGAAACTTTCAGTGATCTTTTGTACCGGTACTCGTTTTATTATTTTTTTTTTCTTTGAATACTATTCAAATCTGTACAACACTCTTATAATTGGTTGAAAGCTCCTTCTTGGAAAGAGGCGTCGGCTCAAAACTGGAAGTCCTGATCACGCCAGAATTATTTTGCCGAAACTTTACAGAACTGTACTTTAACTGTTTTTAATGTCTTCATCTTTGACATTTTCCTAAAAACAGACTAATAGTTTCCACTCATAACAATTTGATAAGGCTTCTAAACAGCACTTTTTTTTTAGAGCGAGAGTTCAACTCTTTGAAATAACCGTAACTGTAACCATTTTAACCCTCCACCTTCTTCAAACACATCCAATCAAATTCCCATCTATAGAAGGACTTGTTAATGACGAGTTATTATTTTATTTGAGAAAAGACGACTTGTTTATTGTAAGCAATGTTCAGGGCCTTCCAATTATTGGCTTCAGCCTCTAAATGTATTTGAGCTTCTCTTGTCTTTATTGTAAGAAAAGAGTTGTTTTTCTTTGTTTTTGTAAAATGCTCTAAGCATAGTAATAGCTAGTGTAAATATATGTATGGCAGTACTTGCAATTTATATTTCTTCAACATTTTTTTTTTTTCGTTTTAAGAGCCAAGATCAATACACAAGTTCACTAGTAGTCAGTCGTCAATTTACATATTCTTTTTGTTTACATCAGTGTACGTCTTATTTTGTTCACTTTTATTTATTTAGTTTAAACTGTAGATAAACGTCAGGGAGTTGTACGGGCAACAAGGTTTAAGGTCAGATTCTGGTGATCTGTATTTAAGATGAAATTGAAAAACCACCTTATTTGTCTGTTTTTGCCAGACTATATTTAAGCTTGCCACTGTTAACTTCTGGGAGATACCGTTGAAGGGTTGTACCGCCCTCTAGGCATTAATTTCTCCCTTTCTTTAAAATGAATATTGCGACCAATATTTATCGACGATGCTTCATTTTGTAATGGTATTAGTGTAGTACTGACATGCCCACTGGGGTACTTTATGAATTATTCAATTTTTAAGGTACATGTAGGCAAATAGTGATGATGGAAATTAAGGAAGTTTCACTTTGGTTGTGCACTTTTAAAAAAACTATTCATCAATACCTAAAGACGAGTTTGCCCATTCCTATTGGTCGAAAGCCCATCACGTGGGTGGTTGATAAAACACAGGGGTGTGAGTGACCACTGATAAAAAATAGCTGAAAACAGCTGAAAAAGGTGTAAAAAAAGCGGAGCTTTGGAAATCTCCTATACTTTTGTACACAGCAAGTGAGGGGGAAAAGCTGAATCCAAAACAAAAACAGCTGAAATCAGCTTTAAAGTTGAGATTTCACACCCCTGAAAACAGTTGATAAAATACCAACTGGTTTTAAACACTTTTTTCCTGCACTACTGTGTTACTGGGTTCTGCGCCACAAAGCAGTGCCCGCCGTGCGCCAATCTTCCTATTAAAAGGAGATTTGTATTATTACTACGCGCGCAAGGCACGTACCATAGACGTGGCAAGAGTGGTGTTTAACAAAACACGAGGCAAAATAATTGGACAAAATCGTTGGAGATGTCTTGACGTGTTTTGGCTTTTTGACCAAAAGGTATTCATGAATGGGAATAAATATGTGCTTGGGGGGTTTTAAACAATTACGTTTCAAACCGGACGCGATAAATGGCCCAAGTCGAAGGTAAGGGCCATTATCTGCGACAAGGCCCCTAGCTGGTTTAAAACGTACTAGCTTAAAACCCGCGAAGCACACATTTATTCCCTTCAATTTTTAATTTTCAGCCAGTGCAGTAATTGTCAACCAATGAAGTACACTACAGACAATGAAATTCTTGAATTTATTTAATTGATAATCAATTGATTTAATTGACTAACATTCACAATAACTGAATAACAATGAGTGTGATCACTTGTCCATGCGCCATTGCCACAAATGAAGCACCGACTATGTAAATAATGTCTTTTCTTCCGTAACTTAAATTTTTAAAAGGGAGTTCCTTGTGTTTTTTTTTGTATTTGATTTACATGTGAGCATTGATCTTAACACAGACTGTGTCTGTCTCTGATAACAGGGTTCGTGTAACAGATAATTCATAACGGTGACCACTAAATAGATTTAATTTATTCAGCAATGCACAAGTTGAGGCAAAACTTGCTCAAGTGAAATCATCCTGAAGTTCCAACCAAGAAAAAAAATTAAAAGAGAAAATGCTACAACAGAGGATTATCAAGATTTTGTTGACTTTGGGAGGTATTTGATAAAAGAATCATTAATCTCTAATTATTCCCGAAATCATTGTTGAAGCAGAATCCAAAACATTCCTAATTTCGTCTTTTATTCCACGATACCCGAAACATTGGTTGGTGTTTTCAGTCTTCCACTTGAGCGATTTTCATCTCTTCTTTAAAAAAAATTACAACGAATAACATTGATGTACACGTAACCTAAACAAAAATGATGCTTTAAAGTTTGAAGAATAAACGTTGCACCGTGTTTAAAGCACGACCAAACCAAAACAACTTGACTTGATCTGGTGTTTTTTTTTTCTTTCTTTCTTTTCTTCTTTTCTATGTCCGTCCCTTTTCTGTGCCTGTGTCGCTGCAGATTGCTCAACCTCTGTCTCAAGGGGTTGGCAACAAGACAGCAGGTGGGGCCACCTCCTCTGCGGCCGCCGCGTACGCCAATTATGCCAGCAAAGGGGCGGGGTCGGGAGGCAGCTTTGCAGGCGGGAGCCAGCAGGGGCGACGCCCGATCATTCAGCATGGCCCCGCCCAATTTACCGGGGTCCAGACCAACCATTTCGGGCAGAGTAAGCTTTGTCTGATTTGTCAATTTTTTTTTTTTTTTTTTTTTTTTGGAGATTGAAACGCCAAAATATGTCTCGCATCCCACAAAGTAATACTACTGTGTACTTTGGTGTTATGGAGTTCAATGGAATGAGAACTCGCCAATAATATACATCAATTTGTTTTGGAGGGGGAGGGGGATGGAGGATATAGGGGGAGGGGGGTAGGTACCTGATTTCATACTTTTTTGTTGTTAAAGAATACACTTTCAAAAACAAACGGGCGGAGGATTGCAGAAAAGTCCCAAAACCCCAGATCACCCTTTTCCAATTCTAAAAAGAATGATAGAAAAATGATGTGTTATCAAAACTCCAAATCAAATGAAGTCAGCGCAGATGTATAACCCAAGACCGCTGAGCTTGCCAGGAGTGCTACAGTACTCGGTGATGTTGGCTGTGGGAAGGGGGGGGGGGGAGGGGGGATGCTGCGCAAAACCCATGATTAACCCAAATAGTCACTGCAACTGCCTGGCCTATCAATCCCTGTATGGCGTTAGCCCATTGACACCTGTACTACATTGTATTACACTGTGTTTATTCACTGAAGAATCAATAAACTCATAGAGTGCTTAAGCGGTTTCAGACGCTGCAGTGAGTAACAGTCTGAGCGGTTTCGGGCGCTACAGTGATTGAAGGGTTAAATTGCCTGAGCACTCCATGCTTTTATGCATTCATCACTGAATAAACACATTGTAATACAATGTAATACAGTTGCAAATGGGTTTAAATGTACATGATCGCCTAGCCTTTCGCCAAGGTCATTGTGGCTTTAACTGACATTACTAGACGGAGCGGAGAAGATGCTCAGTGACTGGAGTGGAGACAACATGCACGAGTGGCAAAGCCACAAAGCCTTTTCCAACTTGTCAGGAATTTCTTAAGTTTTTCGTTATTTCTCGATTTTTTGTTACGGTACCCTAAAAGGGTAGCAAAATTCCAACCAATTATTAGCCTTATAAATGTGCGTGTGGCTACTACCCGGACGCGTGATGCGGGTACACGCGCGCATGCGAAGCACGTACACACGCACGCGCCTAAATCAAGTTAGAAAAGGCCCCGTGGCTTCGCAACTCGCGAACGCTGGCTTAGTCTTTGCTCAAGTTGCTTCGTGAATTTGCGGCTTCGCCACTCTAAGCCATGGTGGCCTTGGCGAAAGGCTAACGATCGCCTGATGCAAAGTTCCACTATCCGGCTAAGAATACTATGGGGTTTGTCTCTGTAGCCATCCAGACCATCCCCCAGGGTAACGTTCAGGTCCTGCCGGACCCTAGCCACACGGTCATCATCAAGAACCAGTCTGGTACCCCGTCCACCCAGGCCACGGGAGGCAGCAATTACTACACCACCATGCTGAGTAACGCCTCGAGCGCCATCTCTAATTCAGGTGAGGGGGCCCTCCTACAAAACTTAGGTCCGGGGTTCAAATCTTCGCTTGGGTTGCTGTAAGAATTGGATTTCATTTGAAGTGTTATCAGGCATGCAACTTTTCCTCGGATCTGCTGATTTCATCATTTTTTACTTCTCATGAATGCCATTACAACTTGAAAGACACTGTGAAAGTCTTGTGTGGTTTGGAATTTCCTCGTTTTTTTTTCCTTCTAAATTCCCAGTTGCATGCCTGTGTTATTGTCCATGAGTGTTTTTGCTTTCACCCTCCATGCACTGTCTATGTAAAATATCAATGTCTTTGCCGTCTTTAAAGCTATAGTCCATCATTTGCAGCCATCCGAAAAGTAACTGGCGTAATTACTGTTGAAAAACAAACTTGGTTGAAAGATAGTAAGGGAACTAAACTTCCTGTGAAATTATTCTTTCTGGGAAGCTGTCATTTTGAATTTTCAACGAAAGAAGGCATTTCCAACGTTGATTCTTAAGAAGCACCGTAGGAAAATTTAAATTAGTAGTTCGTTTTGTTATTCAGCGCAGCGCGCACAAGTATTGGAGCGACGCACACGCGCGCGCGGTTGTTATAATTCGTCGGATCAGTGCGCGACGCCGCGTATAGCTGCAATTCAAAACAATTCAAAACATGATTCAGTAACTTTTGATTTGAAATTGAGATCTTAGAATGCTGCTTTTCTCGGAATGTACAGCTGAAGCTTAGCTGAAACTTCATCAGGTTAGTTGCTCAGTATCCTTCATTAGATTTTGAACACTTTTGTTGCTTCAAACGAACAAAATGCACTAATTACAAATGATGGACTATATCTTTAAGGAACATGTGGACCATGTCTTCATATTTCAAGGTTTTTTGTGATCACTGGCTGGGGTTTTAATTTCAAATGGTATATGTTTGGTAATGGTCTGATCCCTATGTTATGCAGGTTCGTTCCCTAAAATGATTCAAGTGTGGGGTTCAGAATGTCAATTTTGCAGTGCCAATCAGCTTTGTTAAAATTGTAGATTCGTCATTTAGTCTGTCACGTCACTTAGTAGTCTCGTCACTTGTCTGTTTCCATAGCAACTTTGTAGTTGAAATGAAAACAAAAAAAATGTTATTGCACTGTCAACCAAAAAGTGGTAAAATTGCGAATGATTTTGGATGACCATGCAGCACACAAATTAACATGCTTCCTTTCTTCATGGTAAGAACGTCAAGCTTGAAAAGGACAGAATTCTACTTTTAATTCTAATTTTAACCTCGTTCAATTTTTTGTGTGTGTCGGGATTGATGGCATCTTCTTCAGAAATTGCTTTTTGAAAGGAAGTACCACTTTCTCAACAGTGCAGTGACATTTTGAATAATACCCCATACTTTTTGTTTTGGCCCTTTCTTTCCCTTCCCCCCCCCCCCCCCCACTTCCCCTCTCCCCTTTGTTGTTCAGTTGTGTTGAGTGGGGACATGATGGGTTTGCTACCTGACGCCCCTCAAAAATCACTCCGAGAAAAACACAAAGTAAGTTTGCCTCCCAATGGAGACATGGTTACCCTATAAAATATACCCAACTCAAAACCAGATCTACCCAGTTTGAGCCGAAACCCCTTGAGGTTGTTTGAGGCATACCTCCATTGGGGGTCTTACTATTAAACAGGTGTGCCCTGCAGTGATTCGCAGTGAACAATTTTGGGAATCTACCTCCTTTGGGGTATAAGTAAATACTTGAAAATACCCCAAACGGTTCATTTATTTGGGGCAACATGGGAATACCCAAATTAGGGTGGTGGAATTCTTACACAGTGAATGTCCATAAATACATGTGATATCATGTTGTGTTATATCCATTTGTCATTTCTGTGTTATGTTTTTGGTCACGTGCTTGAACTTTTGTCAACGTGTCACACCCAAAATGTCATCCTCAAGACACTCCTTTCATCCTCTCAATCACGTTTGGCCGTTGCTTCTTGGAAATCCGCCTCTGGCCGTTGCTTCTTGGAAATCCACCTCACATTGTCCATCTAAACAATAGACATCAACATTAAGGATTATTTTCCTGCATCTGTAGTGCATGATAAACCCATGGGCCCAAATTGTGTACCTTCTGCTAAAGCAGAAAATACTCTAAGCAACAAATAGTGGAGTACCAGTCAGCGACATACATCTACTTGGTACTTGGTGGTTATCCTCTTCAGAACTCCTCTGGGAAGTCTAACTAAGAGGCTTGGAGTTTTGGCTGGTGACGTGAATTTTTCTAAATTTCTGCTCTCAGCACAGCCCATGGCTAAGCACTGCTGTCAAATTTTCCCCCGATAATCAAGTACACAATATATGAAGTACGGTATAAATTACAGATTTGATAAAAACAGAACCCAATTTTATTTTTTGTTCATTCCGTATATTTTGCGATCGGCACACGATTTGATTTCAGAAGTGTGTCATGGGGACATTTTTGTGTGTGTGCAAAAGCTTACATTTCACGGTCAATTAAATCTGTGGGTTTTTTTTTGCTTTTGTTGTGTCCTATCAGGGCCATCATCATCGTCATCATCACAAGTCAAAGGCCAGGATGGGAGGCAGATCAGATGTGAGTTTTTGACGCAATACTCACCCCAAACTCTCCAAAAATGCGGTCTACTTACCTTAGGCCCAAAAAAAAAAAAAGTCTCCGGTTTCTGGTATGGAGCTTGCCCAAAAAAGTGGTGCGGCGAAGCGTTTTTTTTTTTTTTTTTTACCTGATTTTTTTGCTTCAAATGTCGGCTGATGACTGCTAATGGTGCCCGACTAAACTTAGTGCAAATATATGGGAGTCCAGAGAGGCCACAAAAAGCTTATTCTCGACCATAACCCAATCTAAAAACACGTTAAAATTGTGCAGCAGCAGGATTCCAGTCAATCCAGTGAGTTTGGCGGTTTTGAGACATCATCTTTCATTGAAAAAAAACCTTTTTCATTTTGCCAACGTGCATGGCTACGGCGAGGCACGCGCATACCAGAAACCGGAGACTTTTTTGTGTGGCCTTATTAGAGTCAGAGGAGAAGGGGGGGGGGGGGGGGGGGAATTTGGTCCCCTTTCAGGGAGTAACAAATTCAATGAAGTTGGCAAAACCTTTAGAGAAATCCAAAAACCAGCAGATACATCTGAAGTTCTAGTCCATTTTTGATACAGCCTTTCATAATTACCATCATTAACAGCATTGGTTACAGGATGTCTGAACTCTTATCTTCATACCGAGTCAGATTTTTCCAAGGAATTTCTTGATGAACTGAAATATCGACTGGAATTCAGTCGAGTGAAAGCCTGAGAATGTCATGTGTTAGAAAGTCTTGAAAACTGCGTTCAGAATTCATTGAATTTAAAATTTCTGCATGAAAGAAATCGATTGTGGCAGTGAGACTTTGAATGACATGTTAAAATGAAAGTGATGGGCAAGAAACACAACCACGACATCAACATCTTAGATATAAAAGTTGGAAGAATTTTGAAAAAAATTGCCACAAGCACAAGTGTGAACAGTAACACATTTGCACTTCATACAAACGATCATCATACCTTTTTTTGTTGTTGACATTTTGGAGAAGTGTATTTGACCTGTTTTCCTAAAAACTTTTTTTTGGGACATAATGAACAGCAAACCTAATTGCTGTCATTCTCAATAATCAAATAAACTGCAATAGAAACTGACTAGGTTCATTTATAATCATTTGAAAGTTAAACAGAGAAATCGACTGGAGCGGGGTTTGGACCTGCGGCCTCCAGATTGATGCTTCAGAGCTCTACCAACTCATGAGCTATCCAGCCCCATGTTGGCGGTTTCCCATTTTGTTACTGTCTTTGTTCAAGGGGCACTAGTCAGAAGCCACAAACCCATACATGCCATGTATCCAAGAATCACACTCCAAGTCACAATGCTCGTACATTAGCAATGCTGCAAACCCGGTTGAAAGGCATTGACGAATTGGGGAATCACCAACATAGGGCTGGATAGCTCAGTTGGTAGAGCACCAGAAGAGCGTTCCAGTAAAGACTTTTATTCTTCTTAGGTTAGTTTTGTATATTGATTTGTTTTCATCAGTATTATTTTTTTGTTGGCGGTTGTCTCTAGGATCATCGAAGGCTGTCCCAGCATGCGGCTACGTCCCTGGCCAACCTCCAGCAGCTGCGGTCAGCGATTGCCGCACGCAGCCTGGCCACGTCTGCTGGAGCCTCCACCTCAGCTAAGACTACCAAAGATTAACCCCTTCCTTAGAATGGTAGTTACAAATAGTGAGGTTTTGCAAGCGAACGGATATGTCCTCAGGTCGTGTAGTTTTGTGACGTCATATGCAACACACTACAAGGATAGTGCCTGTTACGCGTCAGCGTGAAAAGCATATTTAATTGTCAATTTTCACCCTCTTTTCCAATAATAGGCATGCAACTTTTCATTGGATCAGCCGATTTCCTCTAAAAAAAAAAATTGAAAAACATTTAGAAAGTCTTGTAAATCTTTGAATTTCCATTTTTTGGGGTTACTTTCCAGTTGCATGCCTGTAATAAGGTAATACATCTTGAATGATTTGAAAGAGGATGCATTGGTTAACATACATATGTGACATTTGTCAGTGTTTCAAAGCAAGATTAGCTGCAAATATGGGGCTATCATTAAGGGCTGCCATTTTGGATCACTGCTTTGGTAACGATAAACGCGTACACAATGTGAAACAACAGATTAAAGATGATAACCGTTACGTGTGCTAAACGTATGCGTACACGTATCTGATCGGTTGCAAAACCTCTCATATCTTCTGCAAGATCCCACCTATCCTGTCACCCTGACAACAACACAAATTTCAACTCTTTAGATGGACAGCTGGAAACTGTACCTAATTTGCATAACAAAGGCTCCCTCCTGGTTGTATACACACATGCTGATACAGGGACTGGTTTAAAAAGTTGAAGAGAAATTACGAGCGAGTTGGATTTATTAAGCAAAAATGTATGTGTGTGTCTTTCTTGTACTGTGTTGTTTCACACTTTTAGATCCATTTGAAAATAAGCACTACAGTGTATTGTATAATTAGCACACGTTCATTCAGTCAAGTTAGACTTTTGTGGAATGTGACCACTTGTTAGGAAATGGGACCTTAGAGTGCTGCCAAACAGAAACCATTGCTTAGCCAATAAGCCAATTTGCGAATTCAGTTCGAGGTGCCCTGACTTGCTCGAACGCTTGGCACTTTTTAACTTTGAATTCTCCCGACCAACGAGACTGTTGCTATATCACGTGATTCGGGGCAAGCCTTACGCCAGCAACCCCCAGCTCCGGAATGGTCTGGTGTCTTTGTACCATTCTCACCCAATGCGTTGATGCTGAGCATCTCTTACGTAACTAAGAGCTTGCCCCGAATCGTGTGATATATTAATGGTGTCTTCGGTCTGGAGAATTCAGAGTTAAAACGTGTGTGGCGTTATGAACAAGTCAGTGTACCAGATGTTATTCAAATTGAACTCGCCTTTACCGGTAGGTTATTCGCAAATTGCTTATTCCCGGCTGAGTGCAAAATCAGCAGTGTACCAGTTGCCCCCAGTTTAGCGGCATGAGAATTTGGCTGGTAAACCGTGTTTACTGTGATTAGCAATTAATGAACAGAGGGCAGCTTATCAAGACTGCTGGCCACTACAATTCAGCCAAATGTCATCACATATTGGACATTAATGGCCACAATTTGCAGGGAAAACAATCTCCAAAAATGCAATCCCTCCACTTGGACATAATTTCTTGTTGTATATATATCAACATTTTGTCTGTGTGTATATAATGGATGTCAATGCTGCAACATAGAGAAGAAGGTTACACAGTATTTTGTTAATTAAAATTTGAAGAAAAAAAAGGTAAAGACCTGAAAAAGTCTACAGTATTAAAGACAATGTGTTGTGCATGAATATTAACGTCACAGTTATACATGTAGTTTTTAAAAAGCAAGCTTTTTCTGCATGTGTTTTGGGTCAACAAAAAGTTGCACTGTAATGTAAAGAATGTGCTTTAACCTTTTGGGGTGGGTTTTGAAAAATCAATGTCAGACATTGATTGATTTTTTTTGTTACTGGAGATATCGAAAACTTTTTATGTTATTTTTGTACGAATTTAAAGAAAATCCTCTAAAAGTTTTGACAAATTATCAGTCTGATGATGGTATTCATAAGGAAGACTAATTTAAAAAGTTTGTGTTTCTATCTTCTTTTCAAATTGTGTACTATTTTCTTCTATATTTCAGTTATCGTTTATAATTATGACTTGAGCAATGCATGTTGTTTCACCTGAGGAGGGGAACAGCAAGCAGACTTAGCCCCAGTTCAGACAGGCGTTCTACAGTCGCGCCGAACCAAATGAAAGGCAAGATTTGAATTATTACATGTACATGAAAAATTCGAGGTCTGAAACAATTAGGAGACCGCCAGATGACAGAAGATCAACAGTCGTAGCCGTTCAGAATGACTAAGGAGCGACTTGATTACAGACGTCGCTCTAATCATGAGCCGAATTCAATGCAAATGTAGTGACCTTGCGACATATCACACAAGCCGCCCATAAATTAGGACTGCAGGCAATTTGATTAACGCATGACGCAGTGCTTAAAATTTGAAAGTTTTCTTGTTGCAGAATCGATCCTTTCAAACACGAGATTTTGACATCGCGTTATAGAGCAACACAAGATACAACAACAGAATTTTAACAAAAAACTGAGACTTCCAGTATCCATACGGTACAGGCATCGCACAGTTTTGAAAAATAAATGTTCATATGTGATGTGATGTGCAAAAGATAATGTGAATTGTGAACGCATATGGTGTGCTAGCGGTATGGCTAGCTGTCTTCGATACGCGCGCAGTACACTCTGAATAGTCAATCAGTGCCAGTTTAGTGAAGGAAGGGGCATGCAGCCCATATGCATCAACGGCGCTGCGCAATGTCAGCTTGTTGCTAAGATCTGTGTTCAATTGTTTGTACACAATACTCCAGTGTATTAAGTTTGCTTGTCTGAAACAAAAAATTGAATTGGGTCGACCTTGAGTTGCTCATAATCAATTTAGTTCGGCGCGATTCCTGAAGGCCTGTGTGAACCGGGGGTGACAAGGGACTCCTCAAATCTGCTTTAAAAAAAAATGTTTAGCAGAAAATTATGCTGAGCACTTTTCTTTATTCAATCATTTGTACATTTTTTCATTAAAACAGAAAGGGGAAAAAAAATTGGGAAAATTGAAAGGGAAAACTGTTTACCTTCACGCCTTGTAAATGCTTTGGTCGCTTTGCACGTGTTTGTCTTGTGTGCCTACTTGTTCATGTGCACAAATAAATAAACAGAGAGAGAAAGAATCCTAAACTGAGTGCATCGTGTTGTTCGCTGTAGTCCTTTCGTTTGGCTTGGATTATTGAATCTTCGGTTTTTGAGTGAATGTAGTCATTTTGAATTGTATTTTTTAAATGTACAATTGGAAATGTGCTTGAGAACATTTGACAGAGTCATACCCTAAAAGATATACCTACAGTGTTAGATACACACTTTTTGCTGTGTCGTACATAAGTCAATGATATTGGGGGGGGGGGGGTTCAGGTTGACGCAGTGGTTACTTTCCTCGCCTTCCACCGCTATGGCCCTGCTTCTTCAGTCCCTACTTGATTCTGTGTTTTCCCTCGGAATATTCTTCTGGGGTTTCTTCTGTAATTTCTTCTCATTGTCTTCTCTCTACCGGTTTCTTCAGGCTTACAAGTTACTTTATAAAAAGATATAACAAACAGAAGACATACTTCTCATGAGGCTAAAATTGCCACTCAACAAAAGTATTTTCATCCACTTGAAACTTAAGCTTGAACATCTGAAGAGCCCCCAATATATCCTTACTCCTAATCTGTTTGCCCTGGGTTCATAACCAGCCAGGACTTAACTCTTTCTTTCTATTGATACCAGGGGATGTTAATTCCAAGGTATATAATGACCCTGAGAAACTGCTAAGTGTAACAAGAGGAAATGGCCTAGAGGCTCATGACGCCAAGATATGAACACCATGCACTATTGCACTGCTTCAAATTCAGTCAATGTTCCGATCAGGTTGGCGTAGCGGTACTTTCCTCGCTTTCCACTGTTGTGATCCAGGTTCGAATCCCGCCTGGGTCAATATTATGGATTGGGTTTTCAGTCCCTACTTGATTCCGTGGATTCCCCCACAAAAATCTTCTACGGCTTTCCTCCGACATCTAAAACTGTAAGCTCTTCTCATTGTCTCCCCTCTGTAGGTTTGCATTACTTAATTTTTAAGATAGTTTGTCCTCCATTACTACAGTTTGGAATGGGTTTGCACTCTCGCCAAGTTTTTCTCCTCGTTTACACAAGACACTGTTGAGTGAGAGAAAAACAATATTTTGTCTTAATCTTCTGTCTATTTTGTTTATTTTTCATTGTAAATAACATGGCCACCGTTCAAAATTAATGCATTACTTAATTTTAGAGATAGTTTGTCGTCTATGACTACCGTTTCCGAGCAAAAAGTCTGGAAAATGGTCTGTTTAAAATGGGACTGCACTCTCGCCAAGTTTTCCTCCTCGTTTACACAAGACACTGTTGAGGGAGAGAAAAGCAATATTTTGTCTAAATCTTCTGTCTATTTTGTCTATTTTTCATGATAAATCACATGGCCACCGTTCAAAATTAATGCATTACTTAATTTTGAAGATAGTTTGTCCTCCATGACAACAGTTTCCGAGCAAAAAGTCTGGAAAATGGTCTGTTTGGAATGGGACTGCACTTTTGCCAAAATTTTCCTCCTCGTTTACACAAGACACTGTTGAGGGAGAGAAAAGCAATATTTTGTCTAAATCTTCTGTCTATTTTGTCTATTTTTCATGATAAATCACATGGCCACCGTTCAAAATTAATGCATTACTTAATTTTGAAGATAGTTTGTCCTCCATGACAACAGTTCCGAGCAAAAAGTCTGGAAAATGGTCTGTTTGGAATGGGACTGCACTTTTGCCAAAATTTTCTCCGCGTTTACACAAGACACTGTTAAGGGAGAGAAAAGCAATATTTTGTCTAAATCTTCTGTCTACTTTGTCTATTTTTCATGATATATCACATGGCCACCGTTCAAAATTAATGCATTACTTAATTTTAGAGATAGTTTGTCGTCTATGACTACCGTTTCCGAGCAAAAAGTCTGGAAAATGGTCTGTTTGAAATGGGACTGCACTCTCGCCAAGTTTTCCTCCTCGTTTACACAAGACACTGTTGAGGGAGAGAAAAGCAATATTTTGTCTAAATCTTCTATCTACTTTGTCTATTTTTCATGATAAATCACATGGCCACCGTTCAAAATTAATGCATTACTTAATTTTTGAGATAGTTTGTCCTCCATGACTACAGTTTCCGAGCAAAAAGTGTGGAAAATGGTCTGTTTGGAATGGGACTGCACTTTTGCCAAAATTTTCTCCGCGTTTACACAAGACACTGTTGAGGGAGAGAAAAGCAATATTTTGTCTAAATCTTCTGTCTACTTTGTCTATTTTTCATGATAAATCACATGGTTATCGTTCAAAATTAATGCATTACTTAATTTTTAAGATAGTTTGTCCTCCATGACTACAGTTTCCGAGCAAAAAGTCTGGAAAATGGTCTGTTTGGAATGGGACTGCACTCTCGCCAAGTTTTTCTCCTCGTTTACAGAAGACACTGTTGAGGGAGAGTAAAGCAATATTTTGTCTAAATCTTCTGTCTATTTTGTCTATTTTTCATGATAAATCACATGGCCACGGTTCAAAATTAATGCATTACTTAATTTTTGAGATAGTTTGTCGTCTATGACTACCGTTTCCGAGCAAAAAGTGTGGAAAATGGTCTGTTTGGAATGGGACTGCACTCTCGCCAAGTTTTTCTCCTCGTTTACACAAGACACTGTTGAGGGAGAGAAAAAAACAATATTTTGTCTAAATCTTCTGTCTGTTTTATCTATTTTTCATGATAAATCACATGGCCACCGTTCAAAATTAATGCATTACCTAATTTTTAAGATAGTTTGTCGTCCATGACTGCAGTTTCCGAGCAAAAAGTGTGGAAAATGGTCTGTTTGGAATGGGACTGCACTCTCGCCAAAATTTTCTCCGCGTTTACACAAGACACTGTTTAGGGAGAGAAAAGCAATTTTTTTTCTAAATCTTCAGTCTAGTTTGTCTATTTGTCATGATAAATCACATGGCCACCGTTCAAAATTAATGCAATACTTTATTTTTGAGATAGTTTGTCGTCTAACACTACCGTTTTCGAGCAAAAAGTGTGGAAAATGGTCTGTTTGAAATGGGACTGCACTCTCGCCAAGTTTTCCTCCTCGTTTACACAAGACACTGTTGAGGGAGAGAAAAGCAATATTTTGTCTAAATCTTCGGTCTATTTTGTCTATTTTTCATGATAAATCACATGGCTACCGTTCAAAATTAATGCATTACTTAATTTTGAAGATAGTTTGTCCTCCATGACAACAGTTTCCGAGCAAAAAGTCTGGAAAATGGTCTGTTTGGAATGGGACTGCACTTTTGCCAAAATTTTCTCCGCGTTTACACAAGACACTGTTGAGGGAGAGAAAAGCAATATTTTGTCTAAATCTTCTGTCTACTTTGTCTATTTTTCATGATAAATCACATGGCCACCGTTCAAAATTAATGCATTACTTAATTTTAGAGATAGTTTGTCGTCTATGACTACCCTTTCCGAGCAAAAAGTCTGGAAAATGGTCTGTTTGAAATGGGACTGCACTCTCGCCAAGTTTTTCTCCTCGTTTACAGAAGACACTGTTGAGGGAGAGAAAAGCAATATTTTGTCTAAATCTTCTGTCTATTTTGTCTATTTTTCATGATAAATCACATGGCCACCGTTCAAAATTAATGCATTACTTAATTTTGAAGATAGTTTGTCCTCCATGACAACAGTTTCCGAGCAAAAAGTCTGGAAAATGGTCTGTTTGGAATGGGACTGCACTTTTGCCAAAATTTTCCTCCTCGTTTACACAAGACACTGTTGAGGGAGAGAAAAGCAATATTTTGTCTAAATCTTCTGTCTATTTTGTCTATTTTTCATGATAAATCACATGGCCACCGTTCAAAATTAATGCATTACTTAATTTTGAAGATAGTTTGTCCTCCATGACAACAGTTCCGAGCAAAAAGTCTGGAAAATGGTCTGTTTGGAATGGGACTGCACTTTTGCCAAAATTTTCTCCGCGTTTACACAAGACACTGTTAAGGGAGAGAAAAGCAATATTTTGTCTAAATCTTCTGTCTACTTTGTCTATTTTTCATGATATATCACATGGCCACCGTTCAAAATTAATGCATTACTTAATTTTAGAGATAGTTTGTCGTCTATGACTACCGTTTCCGAGCAAAAAGTCTGGAAAATGGTCTGTTTGAAATGGGACTGCACTCTCGCCAAGTTTTCCTCCTCGTTTACACAAGACACTGTTGAGGGAGAGTAAAGCAATATTTTGTCTAAATCTTCTATCTACTTTGTCTATTTTTCATGATAAATCACATGGTCACCGTTCAAAATTAATGCATTACTTAATTTTTGAGATAGTTTGTCCTCCATGACTACAGTTTCCGAGCAAAAAGTGTGGAAAATGGTCTGTTTGGAATGGGACTGCACTTTTGCCAAAATTTTCTCCGCGTTTACACAAGTAACTGTTGAGGGAGAGAAAAGCAATATTTTGTCTAAATCTTCTGTCTACTTTGTCTATTTTTCATGATAAATCACATGGCCACGGTTCAAAATTAATGCATTACTTAATTTTTGAGATAGTTTGTCGTCTATGACTACCGTTTCCAAGCAAAAAGTGTGGAAAATGGTCTGTTTGGAATGGGACTGCACTCTCGCCAAGTTTTTCTCCTCGTTTACACAAGACACTGTTGAGGGAGAGAAAAAAACAATATTTTGTCTAAATCTTCTGTCTATTTTATCTATTTTTCATGATAAATCACATGGTTACCGTTCAAAATAAATGCATTACTTAATTTTTAAGATAGTTTGTCCTCCATGACTACCGTTTCCGAGCAAAAAGTGTGGAAAATGGTCTGTTTGAAATGGGACTGCACTCTCGCCAAAATTTTCTCCGCGTTTACAGAAGACACTGTTGAGGGAGAGAAAAGCAATATTTTGTCTAAATCTTCTGTCTATTTTGTCTTTTTTTTTCATGATAAATCACATGGTTACCGTTCAAAATTAATGCATTACTTAATTTTTAAGATAGTTTGTCCTCCATGACTACTGTTTCCGAGCAAAAAGTCTGGAAAATGGTCTGTTTGGAATGGGACTGCACTCTCGCCAAGTTTTTCTCCTCGTTTAC